TTAAAAGTAGTACCCGGCTTCGGGTTAAAATATGATAAAGAAAAAAAATCCCGAAACTGAAATAAATACTCTTTTAGCTTTTTTGATATAATAGTTTGAAGCTAATGATTGCTGTTCGTCAAATCTTTTCGTGCGCAATTAAATACACATGCCATTATCAACATATGCAATGATTTATAAATTATAAGATTGTCTTTGTAAGTACGACCCTTCATTAATTTAGTAGAATGTCCCTGCAAAAGATTTGTCTGATCAAATATGAATTAGATATCTATATTTTAATGTTTTTGTAATGGATTAGTCTAATATGTAAATGGCGAATTAAAAAGCAATAAACATTCCTTTATAAAAAGCTGGTTTTTTGGTATGCAACAATTTTCATTTAATCCTGCCCCTTTTAAACATAATAATAGATAATAAAAACAATTTGTTATTTTTTAAAAAGGAATGTCATTTACTCTCAGACAAAGTAGAATCCATGGAAATTTAAACCCCTGAAGGATTCTATGATAAACCCGAGGGGCGTAGGTAAATGATACATTTGTCAAGCCAGAAAAACTACGTTAGATTCCACACTAGCGATAAGTTAAGGTTTCAAGGGCATAGTTGTGAATCCAGCATGATTTTCTTTAATGAAAGGTCACTTGAAATTACAAAACAGTCCCTTTAAGTAAAATCTATTTTTTTTTTGTTTTAGCAAAGTTGCAGTACGGAAATGACTCTTCTGACATCAACACGAAGGCTTGATAGCGTAGCACAATGTCATTCCCTAGGTAAATATATTCAAATAAATTGATATTATCTTAATGTTTATTTTGCTTGTTTGTTTGAATGTCTGTTTGTGTCCAAAAAGCGTAAAAAAGCTGAATTAATTATACCCCAGAAACGCAACAGACCGGCAGATCAGATAAACAAAATTTTGCAAAAGAAAATGCGCGATTCTTTCCAATTTAAGTAATCCATGATAAAAGAAAAATCCTCTACATTTTGAGTTTTACAATTACAAAAAAAAGCGAATTGAAAAGTAAATTGTTGCTAGAAGAAGGAAGCGATGCGCACTTGAAAGCCTAGTAATTATAGAAATTAATATATCATCATTCATCGTGGTTTTAACCTTGCATAAAACTATGGAATAAAAAGACGCCTGTTTTACAAGTATAAATGTCGTCTTTCAATTCCACAGTTTTATGTTTCTCACTGTATCATTTTCTGATTATTAATCATAATAAACCCCGGTTTTCTGTTAAGTGAGTAAGATAATTCCGGAAGCAGAAAGTAAGGTTGATAATATTGAAGTAACAGAAGATCTTCATACTCCTGGACTTGAAGGCAGAGCAAACAATAATATTATGTCATCAGATGTATAATCTGATCCTAGATACCAGGAACCTGGAACCAGGAAACGGAAACCTTGAAAGAGAAACAAGACATCAAGAACCTGGAAATTTGATATAGGAACAAGGACCCTGGAATCTAGAATCTAGAATAAGGAATCTGGAATACCTTGAATCTGGAACCAGAATTTGAAACCTTGTACTTAGAATCTAATACCTAAAATCTGGAACCTAGAACCTGAATCTGGAACCTAGAACCCTGAATCTGGAATCTAGAATCAAAATATCAAAGATCTAGGAAATCAGGTTGCAAAGATATTAAAATTAGATAACAGTGAAGGAAACCATGTAACACTAAAACCCAGATTGTTCAGTCAATTCAAACCAATTTTTCCTAAATTGTGATATTTAAACTGTACTTTATATATTAGCAACAAAATACCAGGTTTTTAGATATTTAAATGGTGAAGAAATAAGAATCTCTGATTAGGAACTGGAAAACAAGAAACCTATGATTTAATATTGTAAAAAATATCATCATTTTTCACTTTTTTTACCACAAGACATAACTTAGATATAATAAAAGACAATTTTTTTTAAATCGTATAATTATATTTCAATATTTTATATCTTATGAATAATTATTTACATCATATTTACATAAACATCTTAATATACTTATGAAATATAATTATATTTATTATTATTTACAAAATTATGTGGTATACACCACAAAGTTGTAACTATAAAGGGATAAGAAAATTTCAGTTTGTGGGAAAAATTATTTCTTTTGTGTAAAAATGTTTTAACATCAAAATTGTATTCTCAGTTGTCGTCTGTATCTAGTTTTAGATTTATGTTTTTTTAAAGATAAAGCATAAGTAATTCAGTTATAAATATACTCATATGTTTACTGATTATAATGTGTTAACAGAAAAGGTAATTTTTATTGTTATAATAAATAAATCTTATAGTTTACAAATGTTTTAACAAATCAAAAAAGATTTATATAAGCATAGTTATTCCATATGTATCATATTTGAACTGAGAATGCATGTATTGTAGAGAAAACTTTAGGATTCATTTGATACCAAAGCAACTGATGAAATATTACAAACGACTTTACGCTCTTATTCAAAAATTGTACACCGTAAAAATTGAATACAAAGTGTCAGAACACCTTATTTTCAAAATACCTAAATTTCCTTGAAAGATAAAAAATATCCTTAAATTTTAATTTTAATTGCGAAACGTCATTAAAATTTAAAAAAGATCATTTTTAAATATCTAGCTGTTTTTTTTCTAAAATGAAATTTATTACCTTTTTCAAATCTTGATAATGTTTGCTTTAAGCCCGGATCAGTTTATGATCATGAAAATGCATGAAACTAGTCTAAAATTATTGTATTACAGAACAAGGTCAAAAAACCTAAAATATAAAAGCATTAGATCCTTGACATACAATATTTATATACCTTCCTTTAAATATCTCATCTGTAAAATTCCTGCATAAAATGTTTGCATTAGATATAAGACAGAATTTGTTCAGGTATACATTTAACAGTTTTTACAATTATAAAAGTTACAAGGAGTTTTTACAATTATAAAAGTTACAAGGAGTTTTTACAATTATAAAAGTTACAAGGAGTTTTTTAACATTTCTTACATTTTCCAGGTCTTCTTGATTTTCCCATCAGTTAAACTCCTCCTGGTAGATACGCCTGTAGCTGTAGTTGTAGAAATACTCCTGTGCTACTCCTGTAGCTTTAGTTGTAGAAATACTCCTGTGCTACTCCTGATTATCAAACAATATAATAGACTATAGAATAGGACTGGTACTAGAATAGAATAGTTGTAAACTCCTATATTCTAGTCCCTACACCTTTGCAACCTTATAATGTAAACTATTGATTTATTCGATTGATTTTAATTATGTTGAATAAATAAAAGCGTTAGAAAATTAAAGTTTAAAAAGGGAGTAAACATAATATAATTAATGATTGTTAATGATTAAAACTTACCGAATATAAAACACCAATTAGATACAGGGTGTCCCAGTAAACTTGATAATTCAGTGACGAATTCGAGATCGTCTTCGTTAATAATTAGCATTGTAATACCTGATTCTAAACGCAGTAATGTTATTATTTCTGCTAAAGATTATTTTAAGAAAACGGTAAATGGCTGTATAGATGTGTCTATGATGTCTCTGCAAGACGAACAGTGAAGACGGACAAGTTACTCTGTCTGTTTGAAGTAAATGCCCTATTCTTGCATATTGGAAAATCCGTGAACAACCTCTTGAAATAAATCAAATTTATTTTCTGGTCTGTAAAGTTGAAAAGGTCTATTATATTGTTTGATAAATTGTCTGATATTCCCTGATAAATACATTAGGTTCTAAAGTTTACAAGTATTATGTCGTTGATCGAGCAATATATTAAACCTTCATCAGTACACTGTAATCCCCAGAACAGTAAACAGTAAACAATAAACAAAAAATAAAGGTACCCTTGGCTCAACATCAAATAAACTTCGACGCAATTTTTAGCAAACTATCACATATTCGCTGGCGGTTCGTATGCGGAATTGCTCGTTTTAACACTGAATTGCTCATTTTAGCACGGAAATAAATTTAGCGCAAATAATTACTTCTTATTTTTTTTGGCATTTGATTTGTGCAAAATTCGTAAAATAATAAATTCCTAATTGGTAACCGTTTGTTTACATTGTGCGCGCAATTTTTACAATGATGTTTGGCTTGCGCACAAATATTTCACTAATTGCAGATCTTTTACGTAAATTTTAGTTTTTGTTTGCGCATTAAATTTTTTGCAAAAGGCATTTTTATCCGCAGTAACCCCTCAAGTCACGCACATGTCTGCTTGGAAGCCCAGGAACTATTCGGGGTTCGTGAAAGGGTGCCATGACAAACTCCTGAAAGACAAACTCCTGAAAGACAAACTCCTGAAAGACAAACTCCTGAAAGACAAACTCCTGACAAGACAAACTCCTGACAAGACAAACTCCTGAAAGACAAACTCCTGACAAGACAAACTCCTGACAAGACAAACTCCTGAAAGACAAACTCCTGAAATTATGAAATTTTTCTCTGAATGAAATATGATAAAATTCATAAACTTTAACGGATGATGACAACCCTCAATCAGTTGTCTAATTTATTGTCAACTATACTTGTAACCAAATTATAATTTATAAGCCCGTATGCGCGCAACTTTGTATTTACATGCCGCGTTCTATTCAGCTTTTACAGAACCAATGCAAAATTTTCAATACACTAAGAAAGTGTTATGTTGGAAATAGAAAGTTAAAACAAAAATTTTAATTATGACATTTACAATGAAACTATTAGATACTGCAGTTTAATTTTATATTCGAAATTTATTTTTTAACAAACATCAAATAGTGTCTAGACAAAGGTATCAAAATCAAACCTTTGCGCGGAAATTCTGAACGATAATCGGCGTTTTTCTCCGGCCATGGATTTCTTTGAAATAAAAAGACCAATATCATTCAATACCTAATAAGATATATAAGTGAACGGTCCCTTTAAGTTGTCTGATATATAAATCACGTTCATTCAGAAGTTTTGATAGTGATCATTATTTATAATACACTTTTCAAAATGTTAATTCTTAATCGATTGAAATGAGTTGACAATAAATTATTTTAGAAAATAATTTGACTGTTTTCATAAGAAATGGATGTACTGGATAAAAACCAGGAGGTGCCAAACAAAACACCTTTCTCCCTGGTCAAATACAACAATCCTTTTAGGTATACAATTAAAGGAATCCATAGGCGTAATTTCAAGTGACCTTTAATTTGTAGATGTGTTCGAGTCAAAACGGTACCTTTGATAACGTTACCATATCAGTAATGTAAAAGATAACGTCGTTTTTCCAACTTAGAAAGTTTTTAACTCTGACAATTCTTACACTGTTTTCCTGCAGCAGAATTGTGCAAGTCAGTAAAAAAGATAAGGAACATGCATATATCTAATTCATTCTTTATCAGAAAAAATTTGTTTGTGGTACCATTGTGAATCGGACATAGCTCTCCGTAAAGAGTCACTTGAAATATCCCATTAATAATTACTATTTATCAAATAAAATGTTTACTCTCTGTTTACACACTGTTTAGTCACTGATTAGTCACTGACTACTCTCTGTTTAATCACTATTTAATCTCCGTTTACTCTCTTTTTACTCACTGTTTACTCTCTGTTTTAATTCTCTGATTACTCTCTGTTTACGCTATGTTTACTCTCTGTTTTCTCTCTGTTTACTCTCTGCTTACGCTCTGCATACTTTCTGTTTACTCTCTGCTTATTCTTTGTTTACTCTCTGTTTACTCTCTGTTTACTCTTTATTTACTCTCTGTTTACTCTATTTATAATCTCTGTTTACTCTCTGTTTACTCATCTCTGTTTCAGATCTTCTTTAAGTTCAGATCATGGCTCGAATCTAACTGCTGATGACCTCATTATTAATGAGATTTTTCCAGCCAAGGTTGATTTTAAGAATAAGATGTTTTTCTTCTTTATATACCTAGAATTATGTGAAACTGCAAGGTTACCCACAAAGAATTAGTCCGAACGTTTTTTTCTTTGTCTTACAGGATTGGAACCATGCTACTGCTTAAAGGAATTGGAACCATGCTACTGCTTAAAGGAATTGGGACTTTGTTGCAAAGCAAATGTTCTATCTGCATATCTTTTCAACCTGACAGTGAACACCTGAGAAATTTCAAAGTTAAACTATTTGATCTGACAGAATTCAAAGTTTGAAATATCTATGGTCTACGACACTGCTGGTTGAAAAGATATATAGGTGATTCAGGTAAATCAGAGTTTGTGCCAAAGATACAAATCATTTAGTATCTTATTTTGAAATTGAAGACAGAAAACAAAACTCAGATCGTTAAATTTAAACAGTCTCTACTCGCCATTAAAATTTCGTCTTTAATAGGTTGGGGCGCAAGTCGCAACGCATTGCAAGTAAAGAGAGCAGGCACCCTTTAACTTTGATTTTCAAGAAAAGATTAAAAAAATAAAAAATTAATATCTAAAAGTTCAAAATATGGGAAACCATTTTCCTCTTCCCTCCTCCAGCTTATCATGGTTTTAACAGAAAAATGAAGAAAAATTCCCAGTATTAAATTCCAAGGGTGGGATTAAAAAAAATTCCCCTCCCCCCCCCCCCCGGAAATTATCGTAAGCCGCCCAGCAGTCTGTATTCGAAATAATAAAATTTACATTATGGAGTACGTATTCACCCCTTAATGACAATTAGGTCGTTATCTATATATATAATTAGTTGTAATCTCTGTTTGCTGTTTGGGTGTTCGTTTGTTTGTCCGATCATAATCTCTTGACCAATTTGCCTCAAATTTTAACTGGGGGCCTCGGGAGAACCACGGGAATGTTTAGTTTGGTTTTGAGATTCTAAGTTGAGTGGGTTGACTTTTAAAGCGAAAAGTTATTTTCCCTGTAAAATTCGTCTCAGTGCGGGTAAACGGCGGGAATAACAATGAGTACCCTGTGCAACACTGGGTTTCCAAGCTAGTAAGGTATAAATTTGTAAAGGAATTAAGTTTTTGCCACAAACTCAAATTTTCTAATTCCTTTATCATTGCAACCTACTGTAAATTTTTTTTTTATTTCAAACTTAGATTATTTGATCTAACAGAATTCATAGTTTGGGCTGCGAATAATTAGAGATTTAAAAATCAATTACATTTAAAGTTTTTTAGATGTTGCACATATAGAGGTTATCAAAGACAAGTTTTCAAATAGAAGAAATTCTCTTTTAAAGTATATATTATTTAGATTTGGAAAGAAGACGGCGGAATTATTTGGGAACAACACGTTTGCTTACAAGAGGCTGACAGGTTAGTTCAGACAGATAGAGGTTAGTTCAGACAGACAGAGGTTAGTTCAGACAGATATAGGTTAGTTCAGACAGATAGAGGCTAGTTCAGACAGATAAGGTTAGTTCAGACAGATTGAGGTTAGTTCAGACAGATAGAGGTTAGTTAAGCCAGATAGAGGTTCGTTCAGAAAGATAGAGTTTAGTTCATACAGATAGAGGTTAGTTCAGACAGATAGAGGTTAGCTCAGACAGATAGAGATTAGTTAATATAGATTGAGGTTAGTTCAGACAGATTGAGGTTAGTTCAGACAGATAGAGGTTAGTTCAGACAGATAGAGTTTAGTTCATACAGATAGAGGTTAGTTCAGACAGATAGAGGTTAGTTCAGACAGATATAGATTAGTTCAGACAGATAGAGGTTAGCTCAGACAGATAGAGATTAGTTAATATAGATTGAGGTTATTTCAGACAGATAGAGGTTAGTTCAGACAGATAGAGGTTAGTTCAGACAGATATAGATTAGTTCAGACAGATAGAGGAGAGTTCAAAAATATAGAGCTTAGTTCAGACAGATAGAGTTTAGTTCACACAGATAGAAGTTTAATCACACAGTTTGAGGTGAGTTCATACAGATGAAGGTTAGTTCACACAGATAGAGGTTAGTTCACACAGTTTGAGGCGAGTTGAGAAGATGAAGGTTAGTTCAGACAAATGGAGGTTAGTTCAGACAGATAGTAGTTAGTTCAGATAGATGGAGGTTAGTTCAAACAAATGATGGTTAGTTCAGACAGATAGAGGCTAGTTCAGACAGATAGAAGTTAGTTCAGAAAGATAGAGGTGAGTTCACACAGATAGAAGTTAGTTCACACAGATAGAAGTTAGTTCACACAGATAGAGGTTAGTTCACACAGTTTGAGGCGAGTTGAGAAGATGAAGGTTAGTTCAGACAAATGGAGGTTAGTTCAGACAGATAGTAGTTAGTTCAGATAGATGGAGGTTAGTTCAAACAAATGATGGTTAGTTCAGACAGATAGAGGCTAGTTCAGACAGATAGAAGTTAGTTCAGAAAGATAGAGGTGAGTTCACACAGATAGAAGTTAGTTCACACAGATAGAGGTTAGTTCACACAGAAAGTGGTTAGTTCACAGAGATAGAGGTTAGTTCATACAAATAGAGGTGAGTTCACACAGATAGAAGTAAGTTCTGACAGATAATGGTTAGTTAGGTAAGATAGAGGTCAGTTTAAAAAAGATTATTTCAGACAGATAGATATTTTTCCTTTTTCGTTTAAAACGTTTAAAAGAATAAAAATGAAAAAAGCTAACAAATATGTGTAACAGGTAAAATTGTGATTGAAAGCCAACCAGTCACGGTAAACTGGAGGTCCTGGTTGTGTCCATACTTTAGAACCCATTTTCACCAATTAAACGTAGATTTTTACTTTTTTGTAAGACTATGTTTTCAAATATTTCTGTTTATAAGGTATTTTACGCTAGTTTTGACAGACTTTGAAGGAGAGATCAAAATATACTAGGAAAGTTATAAAACAGGGAGAATGTATACTTGGATGTAGTTTTACGTGCAGTTCTCTGGGATAAGAACCGAACCACGTGTTATAGATTTGTTAAGAAAGACAGATATGATGTAGGTGTAGACAGAGGAAGGTTGTAGATAAGAAAGTTATAGATTTGTTAAGGAAGACAGATATGAGGTTAGTGTAGACAGATGTAGGTTGTAGATAAGAAAGTTATAGATTTGTTAAGAAAAACAGATATGAGGTTAATGTAGACAGATGGAGGTTGTGGATAAAAAAGTTTTAGATTTGTTATGAAAGACAGATATGATGTAGGTATAGACAGATGGAGGTGATAGATAAGAAAGTTATAGATTTGTTAAGAAATACAGATATGAGGTTAGTGTAAACAGATGGAGATTATAGATAAGAAAGTTATAGATTTGTTATGGAAGACAGATATGAGGTTTGTGTAGACAGATGGAAGGTTAGTGTAGACAGATGAAGGTTGTAGATAAGAAAATTATAGATTTGTTAAGAAAGACAGATATGAGGTTAGTGTAGACAGATGGAGGTTGTAGATAAGAAACTTATAAAGGAATTGAGTCTTTGCCACAAACTCTGATTTTCTATTCATTATATCTTTGGAACCAAATGTTGTAGACCTTATATATTTCAAACTATGAATTCTGTTAAATCAAATAATCTGAGTTTGAAATATCAAAGGTTTACAACATCGGGTTCTACAGATATTGAGGTTTAAATATTTGATTTTGTTCCAAAGACTCAATTCCTTTGTTAAGAAATACAGATATGAGGTTTGTGTAGACAGATGGAGGTTGTAGATGAGAAAATTATAGATTTGTTAAGAAAGACAGATATGAGGTTAGTGGAGACAGATGGAGGTTGTAGATAAGAAAGTTATTGATTTGTTATGAAAGACAGATATGATGTAGGTATAGACAGATGGAGGTGATAGATAAGAAAGTTATAGATTTGTTAAGAAATACTGATATGAGGTTAGTGTAAACAGATAGAGGTGATAGATAAGAAAATTATAGATTTGTTAAGAAAGACAGATGTGAGGTTAGTTCAAATTCAAATGTATTTAAAAACAATGTGAGATCCGAGTTTGTAAGGAGTAAATTCCTAATCACACAATTTTCTCATGAATTTTTTTACTGATTAAGTTTAAAAATGTAAAAATTAGAACTATGTTCATGGGTAAAAAAAGGTTAAATGTTCCAGAATTGATGTTATCAGAACCGGAGCCCAGCTGGATCGTAAACTTAGGAACTAGCTTAAACTCAAAACAATTCAAACTAAGTTAGGGTGCTTCGTGCCGAACTTTCTAGTAATATAGTTTTAACTATCATTTGTAGCTTTTCCGTGTATCTTACTTAATTTCCCGTGTCATTATGTAATGTCCTCTTAGAAAGGAATTGAGTTTTTGCCACAAACTCTGATTTTCTCATTCCTATAACTTTACAATCTAATGTCGTATAACTTTGATATTTCAAACTATGAATCATATTAGACCACATAATCTAAGTTTGAAATATCCAAGGTTAACACCATCAGGCTGCAAAGATAAAGGAATGATAAAAATTGAGTTTGTGGCAAAAACTCAGTTCCTTTGGGCACCCGCAGTTAAACTGTTTTTACGTTAATTGGATGCAAACAGAGAACTTTTCAAATTTTATCTACTCTTAAACGTTTTTGAAAAAGGAGGTTACTTTTAGGGTTAACTTGGTAACAATACAGTTTTGATCATAAAAGTTTAATTGCGATAACAAAAAATACCTATTTCTTGTAATTTATATTACAGAATGACAAAATTTTAACATAAATAGAATTGATTTTTTTTGAATTTGTGATTATTTGGAACTTTTTATGACTTTTACTATGCCCTAGAAAATGAAATATGTTAGATTTTCTTTGGTATATTTTTGCTTTTGTTTATAAATGTCTAAGTAGTGAGCAGTCTGCTAGAGAGGAGGGTATATGTCAGGTAAAAATAGTAATTTTTTTATTTTTTAAATATCGCTAAATTTCAGCAGAAATTAAATAAAATAAAAAATTTTGTCTTATCTAAAATAGCTAAAGGAACGTGGCACACATCATTTCTTTTTTATTATTAATATCGCTAAAGGAATTGAGTCTTAGCAACAAACTCAAATTTTCTAACCCCCTATATCTTTGCAAAAGATTTCATAGTTTGAAATCTCAAAAGTCTCCGTTCTTGGTTTGTAAAGATATAGAGAATAGAAAATTTGAACTTGTGGCAAAGACAACTCCTTTCAACAGGAATACAATAATAAAAATATATTGTTCTGATTGAAAATAGTTCAAAGAAGAAAATAGAATAAAAAGCGTGATATAATATGTATTTATAATATGTTGCATGAGAATATTCCGGAATCCAACTTTAACTTTTAAATCTTTATTTCCACGAGCAATTACATTTTGTCGTGCCGTGAGTCGATGAGGATTAAAAAGAGTTCTGATCACCTTTAATGATGATTGATTCCCCGCAAACTGTAATCTAAAGTTTGGAAATTAACCTGTATCGTGTCCAAGGGGAGTTGCCGTGTAATCAATAGGAAACCTAATATTTAATAATAAAGGGACTGTTTTCTTATTGAATCTTTTCGCAAACTGTTCATTAAAGTCTTCAATTCCATATACTTTCTATAATGTTTCTTTGAGTTTCATGGTTATTCCCTTTGAATTTTTTTAAAGACCTTTTAAAAAAATTGTAATTATATATTATTTTATTGTCGTATATTGCCACTCAATATTTTAGGAGATTATTTTTCAAATCTACATTAACTGCATAGAGTAAATGTCAAAATGTTTGATTAAGGTGCGCAAGGAATTGTATGCTCAATGTTTTGAGCAGATTATCTTGAAAAACCGTATTAACTGTATAGAGTAAATTTCGAAATGTTTGATAAGGCGCGGAGGGAATTGTAAGCTCAATGTTTTGAGGAGATTATCTCGAAAACCTGCATTAACTGTATAGAGTCAAAATGGTTGATTAAGGTGCGGAGAGAATTGTATGCTCAATGTTTTGAGGAGATTATCTCTAAAACCTGCATTAACTGTATAGAGTAATGTAAATGGTTTATTAAGGTGCGGAGGGAATTGTATGCTCAATGTTTTGAGGAGATTATCCGGCAAACCTGCATTAACTGCATAGAGCGAGGTCTCCTTCTGTTAAGGTACTTTCAACAAGATATGGGCAACGATTTCGTGATTTTTTTCAAAATGAACGAAATTTTTCGTTAACGATGGTGTCGTTCATAAAAATTAACGAACGAAGAACGAACGTTCAGGGAAAATACAAAATCATAGTTTTTTAAACGCCCGAAAAAAAATAACGATTTAGAGATAGCTTAAATTTTTTAATTAGACAGTTCGTAAACAAACAATCTTTCTTAATCGTTTGTTCTAAAAACAAAACTAGAAAACTATCGTTTTTTGAAACGACAAATGAAGTCTCTGAACGAACTTAAAAGAACAAAAATTTTATCTCTGAACGATATTTCAGACAAACTTGAAAAAAAAAATCAATTTTTTTGAGCAAACAAAATAGATGACAGATGAACGACAAGTTTGACAACGAAAGAATTCAATTTTTTTAATGACTGAAAAAAAAAACGAACGAAATTGGTCGTTAACAAACGATGAACGAACAAAATAAAAAAGCGAAAGCGCTCCCTTCTATTTTTAACAAAGGTGATCATTTTCAATTTACCAAAACTAATTAAAATAATTAAACTCATTATATCTCATTGGAGGCATTCATTAATAAGACAATGTTTTTTTTAATTCATATCGTAACATAGATAATATAGAATGACAATTGACAAATAGTGTAAATATTATAATGTATAGGGATGATAAACGGAGGAAATATGGAAAAGGAATATGTTATGAAAATATTATTCATGAAAAATATTTAAGTAATTATCAAGGGTACGGGAAAAAAAAGTATTTAAGTAGTTATCAAGGGTACGGGATGAAAAATATTTAAGTTATTATCAAGGGTACGGGAAAAAAAATATTTAAGTAGTTATCAAGGGTACGAAAATATTTAAGTTGTTATCAAGGTTACGGGATTAAAAATATTTAAGTTGTTATCAAGGGTACGGGAAGAAAAATATTTAAGTTGTTATCAAGGGTACGGGAAGAAAAATATTTAAGTTGTTATCAAGGTTACGGGATTAAAAATATTTAAGTTGTTATAAAGGGTACGGGAAGAAAAATATTTAAGTTGATATCAAGGGTACGGGAGGAAAAATATTTAAGTTGAAGGGTACGGGATGAAAAATATTTAAGTTATTATCAAGGGTACGGAATGAAAAATATTTAAGTTGTTATCAAGGGTATGAGATGAAAAATGTTTAAGTTATAATCAAGGGTACGGGATGAAAAATATTTAAGTTATTATCAAGGGGTACGGGATGAAAAATATTTAAATTTTTATAAATGGTCCGGGATGAAAAATATTTAAAGTTATTATCAAGGGTAAGCGAATAAAACTATATAAGTTATTATCAAGGGGTACGGGATGAAAAATATTAAAATTATTATAAAGGGCCCGGGATGAAAAATATTTTGGTTATTTTTAAGAGTGCGGGACGAAATGAGAATGACGATTCATGCAGCTGAGACACTTTACACTTCAAGTATAGCGTTTGGGATTAGACAGGTCATATATGTAGTTACAGAGATCCCTGATTTGATTTATAAATATTTTCTAATCTCTATATTTTTGCAACCGAATTTAATAAAATTAAATGTGATCGACTTTTCTTATATATCTTAAATTTTTTTATAGCCATTTGAGATCAAATTGAAAAATATCAAGTTTCTAATTTATTTTTGTAAGAATTGCAATAAAAAAATTAAGTCTGAAAATTCTGGAATTCAGAAACGGTGGTAGGCGATTATACCAATACAATGAAGAAGACTTTCGGTATGGTTTCAATTTTGATTTATGTTAAATTTTTAAACAACGTGGATGCACACAAAAAAATGAAAACAAAGAAAGGCTATCAAGAAAAAAACTTCTCTTAAATTACTTGCAAACTTGTAATCTGAAGAAAGCTTGTTTTTAATATAAACTTAAATAAAAAACTCGTCTGCATTATTGACATGAATCGCCTACCACCTTAGATACAGTGAGAAACAGAAAACAGTCTTGTCGCTGAGTATTTTGTAATTTTGCAACTTTTAGATTATTCTGATCATATTTAGAGATATGAGAAGTTGCAACAATAAAAATTATTCTAAGCATATTTAGAGGTATAAAAAGTTGCAACAATAAAATTATTCTAAACATATTTAGAGGTATAAGAAGTTGCAACATTAAAAGTTATTCTAAACATATTTAGAGGCATAGAAGTTGCAACAATATAAATTATAAAATCAATAATGACATTCATTTTAAATCTGATGAACAAAGACGACATAAACTTCACAGTTTACTAGTTCTCACAGTATTTTTGATTCTTGAAATGTTGTGTTGTAAAGATTAAAAATATATATTTGTAACAGAATTTTCTGTATATTGTAAATTACGCAATATCATTTTTACATACTGAATATATATCTAAATATATAAAGTTGTAATCTCTGTTTGTCTGTTTGTTTGTTTGTCCGATCTCAGGAACCCGTGGACGGATTTGTCTTAAATTTTTATTGGTGTACTCTGGAGGCCAACAGGAATGTTCATAGCTCGGTTTTGAGATTCTAAGATAAGTGGGTTGACTTTAATAGTGAAAATTTAGTTTCCCGGTAAAATCGTTCAAGTGCGGGTAAACGGCGGGAGTAAATTTTAGTAACCTTGGCAGTGCTGGGTTCCCAAGCTTGTATATCTATATTTATAAAGTTGTAATCTCTGTTTGTCTGTCTTTCTGTCTGTCAGGTTGTCCGATCAAAACTCAGGAACCTCTCGACCATTTTGACTCAAATTTTGTTTGCAGAACTCGAAGAGCCAAGAGAATGTTCTCAGTTTGGTTTTTATATTCTAAAATCGTAATTTACGACCAAACGCGGATAATCGGTGGGACTAGCTTTGACTCCCTTAGGCAATGCCGGGTTCCAAAGCTAGTTTTATAATAAAAGAATATATAATGTTATCAAATATAATATTGATTTGTAATCTTTTGATTTGATAAAGGCGGTTCGAGCTGAGGAAGGGAAGGCGGACAGAGAAGCCAGAGTAAAGCAGCTCGAGGAAGTAAGAATTAATAAATATAATCATATTTTTAATTCAATATCAATGTAAAAAGAATATGATTTATGATAATATAAAATATGATTTAACCTTTGAAATAAAGTACGTTTGGTTTATAATTAACTCTAATCAAATCAAATCTGTTTTACACATACATGTTATTTTTCAAAATTAAATATAAAATATTGTTATATATCATATAAAGTACTGAGTATAGCGGCTAAAAAATAACTGTACAGTCAATACAGAAGCTAAGACTAGAAGTAGAGAAGCAAACCTTTAAATGTACAGGAAGTACAGCAGCTAAGACTAGAAGTAGAGGAGCTAAGCCTATAAATGTACAGGAAGTACAGCAGCTAAGACTATAAATGTACAGGAAGTACAACAGCTAAGACTATAAATGTACAGGAAGTACAACAGCTAAGACTATAAGTGGCATCTCTCATCTCTACTTATTCAAAGCATAATCGTTAGTATCTGTTTTACTTCGAGTATTATTCATTTGTACTATTATTCGATTCACGTAGGCTTGTTCTTAATTATGTTTCAGTAGAGGAAGTACAGCAGCTAAGAAAATAGAAGTAGAAGAGCTAAGTAAAAAACGGTACCTGAAGTACAGGAGCTAAGAATAGAAGCAGAAGAACTAAGTATATAAATGTACAGGAAGTACACCAGCTAAGAATAGAAGTAGAATAACTAAGTATATAAATGTACAGGAAGTACAGCAGCTAAGAATAGAAGTAGAGGAACTAATTATATAACTGTCCAGAAATTACAGCAGCAAAGAACATAAGTAGAGGAACTAAGAATATAACTGTCCAGAAAGTACAGCAGCTAAGAATATAAGTAGAGGAACTAAGAATATAACTGTCCAGAAAGTACAGCAGCTAAGAATATAAGTAGAGGAACTAAGAATGTAACTGTCAAGAAAGTACAGCAGCTAAGAATATAAGTAGAGGAACTAAGAATATAACTGTCAAGAAAGTACAGCAGCTAAGAATATAAGTAGAGGAACTAAGAATGTAACTGTCAAGAAAGTACAGCAGCTAAGACTAGAAGATGAAGAACTAAGTTTGTATATGACTATACAGGAAGTTCAACAGCTAAGACTAGAAGTAGAAGAACTAAGTATATAACTGAACAGGTAGTACAGCAGCTAAGAATAGAAGTAGCGTAACTAAGTATATAAATGTGCAGGAAGTATAGCAGCTAAGAACAGAAGTAGAGGAACTAAGTATATACCTGTACAGGAAGTACAGCAGCTAAGAAAAGAAGTAGAGGAACTAAGTATAGAGAAAACACTACTGGCTCTCCAAGAAACAGAAAGACAAGACCTGGTAAAACTGAAACACGAAGAAGAGGTAGAATTTTTTCTAGTTTTTAAAGTATTATTTTAAACTATTTTGTGTTTAGGTGACATTTATGCGTCGAACCAAGCAACAGTTACAAGCACAACTGGACGGAATAAAAAACATGAAAGATACAAGTTAAATGTTAAAACTAAAACATTGTTTCAAAAATCACATATTTGAGTCGGAAGCTTCTTTGCTTCATGTTAAATGTTGATGATAACAGTCTTTCGTTGAGTTAATATAATAATAGGAGTTTTTTATAAATTAATTTTTATAAGAAAAATATTTTGTCATTGACTACTTTGAATGCAAAACTGGGCTCCAAAAACCCTAATCGAACTTTTTTGGGACACTATGTAAGCTAAATATCACGAAAGATTTAAGCTAAAATCATGAAATGTTTAAGCTAAAATCATGAAAGATTTAAGCTAAAATCATGAAAGATATTGCTAAATATCATGAAAAATTTAAGCTAAAATCATGAAAGGTTTAAGCTAAAATTATGAAAGATTTAAGCTAAAATCATGAAAGACAAAGCTCTAAAATCTAAAATGAACATGCTGATTGCTGAAAACATCCAAAAACTAGTTAATATTGGGAAAATAAACTGTAAAAAATGGGATTTTCGAATTTAAAAGTATCTTGAAAAATGTAGTGCATTTAGGAATGTTAACGTTTTCATGTTTTTGAAAAACGATCGTTTCGTTATGAAACGACGACGAAAAATCGAAAACGAAACGAACAGTTTTAAAAACGATAGTTTTTTCACAAATGTCGTTTTTTAAAAATTGTCGTTTTTAAAACGATCGTTTTTCAAAGCGATCGTTTTTATCGTGTCGTTTCGTTAACGATCGTTAACGACGACCCTTCGTTAACGATCGTCATAGGAGGTTTCAGGGGGGTGGCAGTTCATTTCCCCCCCTGAGTGAAATTAGGGGGGTGTACCCCCCTGGATTTTTACAAATCATTTCACATTTAAAGTATAGTTTTTATTCATTCTTCTATATAAATGATAAAGTTTACTTGATAGTGACAAAATTATGAAAATAAATTATAAAAAGGAGAAAAAAGAGATGAGACTAAATTTCAAATATAGTCTTAGCAAATTGCAAATAATTTGTTCTTCTGTGAAGATTTAGATCTTCAATTTTAATTTATTTTAAAACTTCTTTAAATAATTGATTTTCTTTTTTTAAGCTTTTTTATTTTACTCGTAATGTCGATATTTTTGTTAAATGAATGAATATAGAAGAATACACTTTATTTCGATCTTATATATTTTATATGTATAATGAAAGTACAAACGAAAAAAGATGTAGATTTTATTCCTATTTTGATCGGAAAAATAAAAAATTTTATTTCTCATCTTATCCAAGTGAGCTAGAGTTTAGTAAGATAGTGATCAAAGTAAATGAAGGTAAAACGTATCCAGAATAAAAAAGCATATTTTCATATTCGAAAACAATATTATTAAAATGAAAAAAAAGTTTTTTTGTGTAATCTTCAGGTCGTCTTTACATTCTCATCCTTTTTGGGTAACCCTGTAGACATTTATTACTTTACAGTCACAGAGACGCTTGTCGTTAAAGCTGGATAAATTGAATTGATTTAATTTACAAGGAAACTAACTTCTGCAAGCGTTGCATTCAAATAGCAATTCATTGTTCTGTAAGCAATATCATTAAAACTAAAAACACTCTTCACGGAATTTGAATTTTCATTCATTTAATTGTTGAAGACGGAAGAATAATACTATGAAAGAAGAAAAAAGCCAAAAAATGCTGGAATTTTTACATTTTTAAAAGAAAAGAACGAGTTTCTCAAATTTAATCAAATTTCAGTGTCATATCTGTAATTTATGAGACCATTTAATGCAGAGACTCAGATATACACAAGCTGTACGCGCAATTTCAAGGAACCAAACCCTTCTCTGTTTTATAATGTGATTTATAACGTCGTTTTTCTTGCTTTAAAGTGATTCATTCTGAAAATTTCTAAATTTTTTCCTGCAGTAGAAATGCGCGAGTCTTTTTAGAAGCGAAACCACAAATCAAAAACTAAATTTTTTAAAGTTTTAAACATGGATTTCTCATTCTTATGATTGTTCAGACAAAGCTTGTACGGGTGAACACTATAGTTTTAGTAGAAGTAAATATTTCCATTTACTGTTAGCGCAGATTAAAGGATTCATAACTCTTATTGGATAATGAGATAGATAGAAAAATAGATGTTACCGCCATACTATTTCTATTGGTTCAGAAAAGACAACAAAGATATGACTGAACCCTGATTGGACTCAATATACAAGAGTGAGTGTGAATCGGGAATTGCAATCTTTGCACGGAGGGTCACTTTCTTTTTCAAAATTGCCCCCTAGACAAGATTGCTTTTATTACATTATGTAACATTTTTACTCGCATCATAGATATTAGCCAAAACAATTCGTTCAACCCCGTTAGTAAAATAGTTTTTTGATTTTCGTTTCGAAACCCCGTTTTGGTTAATATCTTTGATCAGAGAAAACTAGTTTTGGGTAATATCTTTGATCAGAGAAAAATAGTTTTGGTTAATATCTTTGATCAGAGAAAACTAGTTTTGGTTAATATCTTTGATCAGAGAAAAATAGTTTTGGGTAATATCTTTGATCAGAGAAAAATAGTTTTGGTTAATATCTTTGATCATAGAAATATAGTTTTGGTCAATATCTTTGATCATAGAAATATAGTTTTGGTTAATAACTTTGATCAGAGAAATATAGTTTTGGTCAGTATCTTTGATCAGAGAAATATAGTTTTGGTCAATATCTTTGATGAGAGAAATATAGATTTGGTTAATATCTTGGATCAGAGAAATATAGTTTTGGTTAATATCTTTGATCAGAGAAATATAGATTTGGTTAATAACTTTGATCAGAGAAATATAGATTTGGTTAATATCTTTGATCAGAGAAAAATAGTTTTGGTTAATATCTTTGATCAGAGAAAACTAGTTTTGGTTAATAACTTTGATGAGAGAAATATAGATTTGGTTAATATCTTTGATCAGAGAAAAATAGTTTTGGTCAATAACTTTGATCAGAGTAAAATAGATTTGGTTAATATCTTTGATCAGAGAAATCAGGGGGGGGGAGTGGAAGGTGCTGTGCTGCATGCACACGTACAATTCTTAATTTATCATTTATCAAATCATAAATTTCATTATCTGAGATTTGATGAAAAGAGCGAAGTTTTAGATAATTTGTTGATAAAAAGTTAAATCTGAAATGAACGTTCTTGCAATTAACCACTCACCAACTGAGCTTTCACGATGTCGGGTCTACTCGTTTCTAGGTAATACATTGACGCTTATTATTTGTTAAGTTAAAATAATATTTTGTGATATTCGAGCTGTATCGAAAGAAATTTCATTTATCGGATGCACACGGGCAGCCGTAGTACATTTGAATTTCCGAGCCGGGCTAACGTTTCCGTTCCCAGTTTGTACTGTATGTAAAACTTTATTTAATGCCAAACTTTTAAATAGAAGAAAAAACCTAAATTTTGTATTTTAAAAGTTATAAGAGTTTACCTTACTTAAATAAAACTACTGGGCCCATAAATTTGAATGGCAACACATGGTTGATCCGAGAAGACATGGTTCAACCACTTCCCTTCCGCTTAAACTGGTGCACAAGACAAGTGATTGAATTACGCCTGCGCAGTTCAGCTACTTCACGCTTTTCATGAAATCTGCAGTCCATTGTTAATCCATTTACAAAACGTCGCATAAAGACATAAAACATAAAACTTCACATGTTGATCTGATCTAGTTTGTTGGACATTTCTGAAATGTAGCTTGACATAAGCTCCAAACTCAAACTTTCTCATCGCTATAAATGTGCAACCTGATACTATAGATAATATTTCCAACCTAGATTATTTGATCTAACAGAATTTATAGTTTGAAATATATAAGGTCTGTAACGATATTGTGTTCTAAAGATACAAGAAATAGAAAATCTAAGTTTATATCAACGACACAATATTTAACATTTAGAAGAGCTGTGAGCCTTTGATTGAACGGAATTAATAAAACTCAAATGAGTTAAACTTATTTAATCCTCTCCCAGAAACCCAATTACCCGATTTCTCAAACCAACGAGAGGTTAATTTCCTCGTGAGAAGAGAGCTTATACACACATTTGAATTAATCAAAACCCATTTTAAAGTTTCCGACTTAGGAATCTTTTCTATTTCAGATTGGTTCTCCTAGTCTGGTATATATCAACTGTTAGTGCCTCCGACTCTACATGTAAGCTCGACACTAATAAATAATCATTTTTTTCCCTGGAGAAAATATTATTTCTGCTTTATTCAAAAATTGTAAATATTTTTATAAAGTTTCAAATTCTTATCATTTTTGAGTTTGGAGCAAGTTTGGAAAAGTTAACAACTTTTTATTTTAAAAAAAATTCGTCAAGACTATTATATAAGAATGTAATTCTATTATTTGTAGAGAAAAATAATTATTTAGAAATTAGTTTAGAATAACTTTTGCTAATGTTGCGATAAATTTAAAAATTACTTTTTGTTATAATGTTTTCAAGGTGGTTCCTGTGTGTCTATGGTGGATATATTTGCCAGCACCTATATCTCACCATTAACTGCAGAGGAGTTTAAGGGGGTAGGAATACTAGAACTAGTTTATATTAAAGGAGTTTAAGGGGATAGGAATACTAGAACTAGTTTATATTAAAGGAGTTTAAGGGGGTAGGAATACTAGAACTAGTTTATAATAAAGGAGTTTAAGGGGATAGGAATACTAGAACTAGTTTATAATAAAGGAGTTTAAGGGGGTAGGAATACTAGAACTAGTTTATAATAAAGGAGTTTAAGGGGATAGGAATACTAGAACTAGTTTATAATAAAGGAGTTTAAGGGGGTAGGAATACTAGAACTAGTTTATAATAAAGGAGTTTAAGGGGATAGGAATACTAGAACTAGTTTATAATAAAGGAGTTTAAGGGGGTAGGAATACTAGAACTAGTTTATATTAAAGGAGTTTAAGGGGGTAGGAATACTAGAACTAGTTTATAATAAAGGAGTTTAAGGGGGTAGGAATACTAGAACTAGTTCATATTAAAGGAGTTTAAGGGGGTGGGAATACTAGAACTAGTTCTTATTAAAGGAGTTTAAGGGGGTAGGAATACTAGAAAGAACTAAGGTATTTTCCCAAGTGACAATGCTTCCCAATTAAATTGTGCAATTTCCCAAGGGGGAACTTTCATGTTCTAGCTGCAGTGCTCGGCCCCCTAGCTCATCCTAAACGCAGTGCTCGGCACCCCACTGAAGCCGGCGATTTCTCAGGAGGCTGCTTGGGCTTTTGCATCTTGGGAATTTGTTATACTTAGAAATTTCGCTCTTCAGAAAATGCCTTTTGGGAAAATATCTAACACCATGAGAGTTACCACAGAAATGTGGGCCCAATAAATTCAGTCGTTTTGACGTTTATTGGATACAAACAAACAAACCAAATGTTTCTAAAGATTTTTATATTTGTATTAGGTCTGGAGTACAGCTTGTCATACGTTGAAGGGGGATCAGATGGAACATTGTATGAATATAAACAATAAATACAGCAAGGATCTATACGATGTAAGTTCTTCCAAATTATTTTAATAAAACAATAGAGAAAAATGCTGCTTACTCGAAAAAAATCTTTTTATTCAAAGACTACTGTCCAGAATCTATTCCGTCGTTGTTTTTAAATGAATGTTCAACTGGTTTCTTCCTTTCATGAAAAACTTAATTTAAAACAAAAGCCCGAGTTAAACCCTGAGATCGATGTACTTAGAGATATTTCAATGGTTGAATTTGGGAATGTCAACACTTCAACCGGACAAAACTGTTCACTTATGATCTTAACATTATCGATCATGTGTATTGAGTTTTTATTGAACATCGTTAAGCTTCGTTTTATCGAAAAATATTATGTAAAATCTCTGATTTTAAGGCAAAAATTGTAATTATGTTGGTGAATGTACACCCAGTTTTTCAATCGCATCCATTGATTCTGAATAAATACTATCTATTTAATTTCTTTTTTAATGGGCAAAAAGCAGTTGCCGGGATTTTTACTTTTTTTATTACGTTAGGTGTGAAAATGCTCAAAAATCTCAATCTGGAAAAACTAAAAGTTACAGCAAAAACTTTTTTGCATACATGATTATTTATACCCATTACAAAAAATATAGAGTTTTATTTAATTTTACTTATCTTATTTAATTAAAGGTCACTAGTAACTTTAACGCTCTATAACAGAAAAAATTAGTTGTAATACATTCCCTCAAAATTGAATTTCGAAATTTAGTGTATTTGTTTTACATAGATTTGGTAAATAAATTGAAACTAGAGCATAATGCATTAATGGGGAATATTTCTATTTTATTATAAATAGATACATTTACTATTGACAATCCAGCCCCGTATATATAAATTCTATTGATAGAAGAATCCATAGAAATATATGACTGGTTAATGGCTATTCCATTATATGCCGCATGCTCTATATTTAGAGACTTACGCGCCACCATTTTGAATTATTCATATTTCCCTTGTTTACAAATACAATATGTAAAATCCAGGAGAACCCCTATTCATAGACACGTGCCATTTGTGGATTAAATGGTGTAGTAATTATTTACAATTACTTTACAGGATAAATAGGACAAACCCGTGGTTAAGGAAAATTTGTAATTTTCAAAAAGAAGCTGATTTTCACATTCTTTTGATAATTAAGAATTTGACTCATAACTTTTCCTTTTTCTTCTATTCTCCTCCAACATCTAAAAGAAGGCGTCAACATAAAATGTAACAAAATGCTTATATGGCTCGTTATTGTATTAATCAAATCTATCTGTACTATAATCTATTATGCAGTGTATAGGCGAGTATGTCAATTAAATTAAGATGATTAAAGAGAAGCTTTTTAAATTGCCAGTTTCTCTTTGTTTCCATGTTTGTGTTATCCATGCTCTTAAAAAGCTTGATATAAATCCAAATTGAAATCGATTGTCGTCTTCATAACATTGATATAATCGCCTACCACCATTTTGTTTGAATAAAATGTGTGAACTAAAAACTGAAATATAATATAATATATTTTATCTATCTGTAATATATCTTTAGCACCTAACGAGTGATGAAGGAGCAGCAAAGATCTGTGCAGTGTTTGATCAATGCAAAAACGGAGACAAAATTCAACTAGATTATACTTTCAGCTGTAAGTACCATTTTTAAAAAAAAAAACTGATATCGTTCATTTTTCTCTTGCTTTTAGGTTCAGACTGTAAAAGTCAGGCAAAAACTTATCAACAAAATTTGAAAAAATTTACTGATTCTGCTCTGAAAAAGGTATTTTTTTCTTTTTAGGCCTTAGTTGCATATTGATACAAAGTAATGGAGTGGAATAAAAAAAAATTAGGACAAACAATTAGAAATGGATGAAGAATAAGGAGTAGAAATGTATAAACTTTTAATGATCTAATTCTGATGGGGATAAATCTTTTTAATTGACATCATGTTGTAAAAATATTTATTTATTAAATAGATTACTCTCAGATCATTAATGTTTAATTGCAAAATATGGGTCATTTAAACATCCTTATTAGAAAAAATAATGCAATGATAACGTGTGTATTAATCGCATAGTGGACGAAAATTACTTAGGGTAAAGCAAAAAAGGCGCTGAACTTAATTGTTTTGAAAATAAATCATAGTTTTGTATCGAAGAATTAAAGTTATGGATTGAAACAAATTAATCAAACTAAGTTTTAAATTAAAGAAAATAATTTCTACTGGGTTTTTAGGTCGCTTCGCGCCCTTCTCTGTCCTTACTGTTGTTTCCGTTTCTTCTCAACATTTTCGTACATTATCATACAATACATATTAAAGAATTCGAATATTTTATGTTTTAAAGGTGGATTTTTTAATTTATATTAAAAATTCATTTTCCAATGAAACTCTTAATTTTGACCAACTCACAAAATGTTTCGCTTGATATTTTTGTTGTTTATTGGTTTTAAACAAAATAAAAATTTGAATGAATATTGTTTATGAATTGTTTATAGAAAATGAACACGGTGATCTGCAGTGGTCTTGCTAGTGGTAAGATGGAGAACTGTAAAGATCTAGTTGATCAATTCGTTCCTCTTCTAACATTTGTAAGACATTATTAAACTTTATTTATCAACTATTAAAACTGATAAACTTTATTTGAAATATGATAAGTTTATGACATCATGTCGTAAACTTCCAAGGAAATAATAACTGTTCACACTTTATATTATTGTTGGGAAGTTTGTAAAAAAAAAACTGTTTAAATGGCCAAATATTGTTAATAAGTCAATTATAAAAAAATTTCTTTGTTTTTATATAAGTTTTGTTATTGTAATTGTTAGCAAAAATTAGAATATTTTTGATGAAAATAAAACGTTAACAAGCATTCAAGCTAGGTGTATTTTAAGGTTGCTAAAAATATGGATTTGAGTTTTTTGTTCTGTACTGCAGTTAATACCTGCCCTGCTACCTCCACCCTTCAATCACAAGTAAAAAAAAAATATTTTCTTTCTGATTTTTTTTAATTTTATAAAATATTTTTAAAGAATTTATGTTCATACTTTTCAGATGGTGAAATTTTACACAGAAAAGAAAAGGTATCTATTTCAGTACAGTACACCGAAATCATATTTTCGATATTTTTTTGCTTTGCTTGAAAAGAAACTTTTGGCACGAACCAATGCAAGTGTTGCGCAAAAAAGTGCAAATAATTTCACTTACAATCATGAAAAATTAAATGGTTTTTTTTTAATGCTTTTCATAAGTCATATTCAAAGAGTTGTGGGGAAGTTCGGTTGAATCAAGCATAAAATAAGATACTTTTATGTAGCCTTAAACATGTACATTGTAAACCAACAACACGTTTGTTTCCAGCTTAAGATTTACAGAAATAAAATTCCTCAAGAATAAAGTAAAGAAGAGAAAAAGTGAACAAAGGAATTGATTCTTTTCCACAGACTCAGATTTTCTGATCCCTATATCTTTGCAACCCAATGTAGTAGACCTTAGATATTACAAACTTTCAATTCTGACAAATCAAATAATCTAAGTTTGAAATATAAAAGTTGCAAAGCCATCAGGTTGAACAGATATAGGGATTAGAAAATTTGAGTTTGTGGCAAAGGTTCAATTCCTTTATGATTAGTTGGTCAAATTGTGATCGAAAGTCATAGTTTGCTGGTACAAAGACCGATCTTAGCTTAGTTTATTCACTGTATCTAAAATATTGCAGAAGCAAAGGTCTGCTTGAATCTTGTTTTATCTAGTGTCGGTACTGATGACACCAGCTGTACGCAGTGCAAGGCATATGTAGCATTAGGACGAAGCCTGATTGATCTGTCGGATTCAGCATTTGATTCATCAAAAGTTTGCAAAAGCATTCCATTGGTGAGTTATTTAGTTATTGTTTTAGAATTTTTGGTTAATTCTAATCATTCAAGATTTTTTTTCTTTTACGAGAATTATAATTTTAAAATTACACGCCTTAAGTCAGGGTGTACTTTTACAATGTGCAAGTTTCTCTCTGATAAAAGATATAAACAAAAAACATATTTAAACCAATTGTCTTCATTATGCCGTTGTTTTCTTGCCTAATTTCCATTACAAAAAGCAAACTGATTTCAAAACACTGAACTGGGTTGCATAGAAATAAGAAAAATCAGACTTAAACTTTGATTGTGGTTTAATTTTAGTTGGGAGATAAATGTACAGCTTTCTTTGACCTTTTTGGAGGAGTAGTTGTTGATGCTATCAAGAACAAACTTGATGATACTGCGGTAAATAATAAATAAAACTTTAGTTAAATCTTGTCCTTACACCTAGTTTTACCTTTAAAATGAAATCCTGTCTGAAAATTCAGGGGTGATAAATTTCTATCCTTTTATCATTATATCCTTTTGTTCACTGAACAATAATGCACTCTAATGATTTTCTTAGTAAAATGATTTCTCCCTGTAAATAAAAATAAAAATGACAAAAATAAATTATCCTGGGATCTTGGCAGGCGTGAGCGTTCTATTTAAGACAAAAACCAGCTCCAAGGCCCACAATAGTTACACGTCCAGTAGCCTCAGATCTGATCCAATCGGGGTTCACTCACGTGCTTAGTTATTACTTGGGACCAATAGAATAGCAAAGGCGGCCATAACTATCTACCTATCTATTGGTTTATCATTAAATTTTTCAATTTAAATTCCAATTAGAGGTCTATATGTCAATTAGCAGCAAGGACTATTGATTTCTTTACATATTTCCAAACTACGGTGACGGAAGTGTTTACATTTTTTTCTACAGATTTGTACCTCTGTTCTTGGATTCTGCGATGGATCAGCCCTTGAATCTCCTGAGTTTGTTCTCAAAACTGAACCTATAATGGAGACTGAAGTCTTAGATATGGAAACCTACTCCAGGTAAAACAAGGTTGACACTTATCAGTGAGCTCTGATACAGAAACCACTTTATTCATCTTCATTAATATAAAGTACTAATCTCTGTTTGTTTGGCTGTCTGATCATAACTCATGAACCTCTGGACCGATTTGGCTCAAACTATGATTGGGTAACTCTGGAGTACCATGGAAATGTTTTTATCTTGATTTTGAGATTATAAATTGACGTGGGTCAAAAAAAGGTTAAATTCGTAATTTACGACCAAGCGTGTTAACTCGGCAGGAGTAACTATGAGCATTGAGTAGCCTGGGCAACGCTGGGTTCTTAAGTTAGTAAAGGATAAGACTTCAAACATGACTAATTCAGATATACAGCTTTATCCATACAGAATAAGACTTCCAACTCGAATGGACGGTATTCATTACCTTCTTCTTCTTAGTTCCCTACAACTCCATTTATTTGCTAATTAATGCATTATGTTATTCAAAACTGTAAACAAGAAAAAAGAAAAATTAAAGATCAAATTTTATTCAAAGATTTTAGATTATTACAGGCTCATCCTTTTTATATAATCAAAATTGAAGAAAAGAAAACATTAGCCGACAATAAAACTTTTTCGATAAAAAGCTAGAAAATATTATTGTTTTTAGTGAGATGACCCCTGAGTGTAAGAAATGCCTTGCTTCTGTTGATCTGTTGAGAAGTCTTCTTGATCTCACAGATGCAGCTTTCGATGCCTCAATGGTCTGCAAACAGCTGCCTTTCGTAAGCACCAAAAACATATCAATTTATATGTGTAACTCATAATTTTGTAAGCACTAAAAGTTTACCGATTTTTGAAATTAAAAATTTGTTAGCATTAAAAATATATCAATTTATTTATACAAATCATAATTTTGAAAGCACTTACATTTTACCAATTTATGTAATTTAAAATTTCGTAATTTCGTGGTGATTTTGATTTGTTTAGATTGGATCAAAGTGCACTGATTTTATGTCTAAGTACGGAGATATCATTTACAACAGTATCAACAACAAGCTTAATAGTACAGAGGTATGTATTTAAATATTAAAAAGTACTCTAAAAAGTATCCTTGGAAAGGTATCATCGAAAAAGTAACATTTAAAATAAACTCTTTAAAAGGACAGTATCTTAGGGAAAAGTATCCATGTAAAAGTTGTCGAACTGGCCTTGGGACATACAGTACCCTTGTAAAACGAACTTGTGAAAGTGTCCGAACAAAGTACCATAAAAAACCTTGGCAAAGCTTCCATGAAAAAGTAATTTCATGTTTTTAAAAATTTACCTATTTTTTAGATTTGTGAAACAGAACTTGGACTCTGTTCACCGGAGGAAACGGATGATTTTAAGTATGCTGAGGATACTGAGGATACTGATGATACTGATAATAAGATCTTTGCGTATCCTGAATCCAGGTAAACAAATTAGTGTGCTAAAAGTAATTTAAACGTTAACCTTTAAAAGTATTCTCAATTAAGTATCCTTTTAAAAGTATCCTTGTTAAGGTGCCCTTGACATAGTATTCTTGATAAAATGTAATTGAAAAACTATCCTTGAAAAACATATTCTTGAGAAAGTATCCTTAAAAAAATATTCTTGAAAAAGATCCTTAAAAATACCTTTGAAAAAGTATACATGAAAAAAAAACCTTGAAAAACTGGCATGGGTAAAATATCCCTGAAAACCTATCCTTTAAAAGCATACTTAAAAAAATATTCTTAAAAGTTATCCTTGGAAAATATCCATGAAAAAATATCCTTAAAAACTATCCTCAAAAAGTAACCTTGAAAAATATCCTTGAAAAATTATCCCTAGAAAATATCTTCAAAAATGCATCCTCGAAAAAGAATCCTTGGAAAAGTGCCTTTGACATATATATAAAAAAATATGCAATAATTAAGAATTATTAGAGATTCCATTCACAACTTCACATTCATCAGTGATTGAGTAAATCATAAAAATAATGAATAACCTTGTTAATTATATATTTTTTCAGGGCCAGATTTTTCAGCCCTCTTCTTTACAGGATGGCCTAAATTCTATATCTTGGCTTGGTTTGAACAAAAACAGTTATAAAGAAATCTTTCAAAATAAAATTGTTAATTGAGGATTTCATTTTGTATACTTGTGGATCTTATATTCTATAATTAAATAAAGCTTTTTTGGTAAAGGAATTGAGTCTTTGGAACAAAATCAAATATTTAAACCTCAATATCTCTAGAACTCGATGTTGTAAACCTTTGATATTTTAAACTCAGACTATTTGATCTAACAGAATTCATAGTTTGAAATATCTAAGTCTGCAACATTTCGTTCCAAAGATATAGTGATTAAAAAATCAGATTTTGTGGCAAAGACTCAATTTCTTTGGTGTTAATGAAAGACCAAAAATAAAACTGTTAGCAACTGCTTAATCCACATCTATGTTAAAATCATTTATTTCGGGATAGGAGGACCTTCTTCAGTTCCATCAAAATACAGAAATCATCATAAACATTAAAAAAATAAAGTACGAGAAGAAGATTATAATTATTGTTGTTTACTATATCCAACTATGAAATCTGCCAGTTCAAAATTTAACAACAAAATTTGACATATCTACGGGTTGTACCAAGAAGCAGTTGAACTACGTTTAACCACTTTTCTTTAACTTTAATAGACGTACAAGAAATTTGAACAAAGTCCACGTTGTTCAACATAATTATTTCGATTTTTTGGTGTCTTTATCCACCCTGTAGTAGAGAATATATAGTCTTTATCCACCCTCTAGTAGAGAATATATGGTCTTTATCCACCCTGTAGTAGAGAATATATGGTCTTTATCCACCCTTTAGTAGAGAATATATGGTCTTTATCCACCCTGTAGTAGAGAATATATGGTATTTATCCACCCTGTAGTAGAGAATTTATGGTCTTTATCTACCCTGTAGTAGAGAATGTATGATTTTTATCCACCCTGTAGTAGAGAATATATAGTCTTTATCCACCCTGTAATATGAGAATATATAGTCTTTATCCACCCTGTAGTAGAAAATGTATGGTCTTTATCCACCCTGTAATATGAGAATATATGATCTATTCTCATATTAACATAAATGGTGAATATTAATCCTGGGTTTAAGTTGACCAAGTTGACCGCTCATATCCTAATCCGACACTATTCACTTCACTTTCAGTCAGGTTCTGAACTAGTGAATGGTTACACGTCTTATGGGGGGTAGCTAGTATTAGAGGGGGGAGAGAGAGAGGGGTGAGAAGACAATTTATTTAATTTATTTGACTACATAGAGTTATTTTTCTTATTTTATTGTTAATTTTTTACCTTGCCAGGCCATGCTTAAAATAATTGAGTTTTTCCACAAACACAAATTTTGCAATCCTTAAATCTTCTCAGTCTGATGATGTAATCCTTTAATATTGCTAACTATGAATTGTAAAAAATCAAAAAGTTTAAGTTTAAAGTTGAGAATTGATGAAGATTAGAATGACTTAATTATTTTATCTTTTAAAAAAATTTGGTTTTTTTATTTCATATCTTTTACAATTACAATTTTTAAGCGACCGGTAATTGATACATGTTTATAATGCAGATAATCATTTTTCCAATATTGTACTTCTCTGTCTTTCCTTGGAAACCTTTTTCAATTTATTTAGCTGTGTTGTTGCATTATCTGCATACTCCCCCCNAGTAGAAAGATAAATAAAATAAAGAAAAGAAAAGTAAAAGTGCAGAAGAAAGGAAAATATAATAAAGAAAAGAAAAGTAAAAGTGCACAAGAAAGGAAAAGATAATAAAGAAATGAAAACAAAAAGTGCAGTAGAAAGATAAATAAAATAAAGAAAAGAAAAGTAAAAGTGCAGAAGAAAGGAAAATATAATAAAGAAAAGAAAAGTGAAAGTGCACAAAAAAAGAAAAGATTATAAAGAAAAGCAAATAAAAAGTGCACCAGAAAGGAAAAGATAATGAAGAAAAAAATAAAAGTGCAGAAGAAAGGAAAAGATAAAAAAAAGAAAAAGTGCAAAAGAAAGGAAAATATATTAAAGAAAAGAAAAGTAAAAGTGCAGAAGAAAGGAAAAGATAATAAAGAATAGAAAAGGAAAAGTGTACAAGAAAGAAAAAGATAATAAAAAAAGAAAGTAAAAGTGCAGAAGAAAGGAAAAGATAATAAAGAAAAGTAATAGTGCACAAGAAAGGAAAAGAAAAGCAAAGCTGCAGAAGAAAGGGAGAAGATTAGAAAGTAAAAAAATGCATAAGACAAGGAAAATTTTTAAAAAATTGTGTAAAGCTGGATAGAGATGAAAATGAAGATTAAAATGTCCCTGTATAATATATTGTTCACTATAAATACCGTTTAATAAATCTAAATCTGTCCATGCAACACTATAGTTTAATAAAACACTTGCAACTGTGTATTGTGCTAATTCTTTTTAGTGTCTCGTACAGTTTAAGGGTGAACAGTCACCAGATAACTTTTACTTGAAAATATTTGAAAATATTCTTATTATTTTTACCTTCTAAAATACAAATACACTTGTAAAAAATTACACATAAAATCATAAAATATTTCCTTGCTAGAAAATAGAGACTTAAATCAGTGAGGGGGGGGGCATGGTATTTATCAACTTGATCTTTTTAAAGTAAAGATGAAAAAGGAAAACAATTTTCTGTAAGAATTTTTTTTTATTATAATTATTATTATTCTTATCATTATTATTTATTATTATTATCATTATTATTCTTACTATTATTATTATTGGGTTGACCCTCTTCAGCTCTAACAATACAATAACCATCAAAATCAATAATAAAAATGTTAAAAAACCAAAAGAAAATAAACAAACAAAAAAGATTATTAAAAATAAAATTAGGGTCAATCTAATTAACAAACTTTTACGTAAATCAGGGGGGGGGTGGCTTGTTTAAAGAGGGATATCAAAACTGGAAATAAAAAATAATCTTTATTTAAAAAAATACTGAATTACAGTTTACAATTAAATAAAAAATATTAAAACTGTTCATTCCTCTGAGTTCAGTCATAAAAGGAACTGAGTTTTTGCAACAAACTCTGATTTTCTAATCCCTATTTCTGTGTAAGTATATATCGGAGTCGAGACCTTTGATATTTCAAACTATAAATTCTTTTTGATCAAATAATGATAGTTTACATCATCAGACTGCAAAGATATAGGGATTAGAAAATCAGAATTTGTGGTAAAAACTCAGTTCCTTTCTAATGTATTGAGATTATTGTACTTCAAGTAAACTTCTCCCAAGGTCCCAAACCGTCTTTAGTACGCTAACTTTTAGATGGTAGAGTTCATGTCCAGGAAGGTTAAAATGTTTTCGATCCTGTAGGCTGGTTTTTATGGAGTTTTCTAATGTACCAACACGTTCTCTCACATAGGTGATTTTTGAAAAACCTCCTTCATCCAAGGATCCTAGACCATTGTTCTCCAATGTTTCTGTACGATAGAGGAGATACAAGGCAGTTAAGGATTAAATGAGATAGAGATTATAGAGATTCTCCTTTTACTCCATTTCTTTAAAGCAACTTCTCTAGGCATAGCTTTAGCTCAGACTATAGCAGAGTCCACAATTGAAGAATTGTAATCCCTGCTGAGAAGAAAATCCATTAGTTTTGAGAATTGTGCATCCCAAAGTTCTGGTTTGCTGCAAATTCGTACAATGCTGTATAAGGTATGTTGTTAGAAATATGTGCTGGGTGGCAAGATGGGAAGTAGGTACGGTAAAGGTCTGTTGTGATTTTTCCATCTTCAATGTAAATTTGTGTCAAGGAATGCAATACTTTTTGTTCTGTGGCACCAACAGTCATGTTCATCCTTTAAACCACAATAAAATTGAGAACTATGTTCTAGAGTAAACTTGATACTAGGATGAATTTTAATGATATCATCCAGGAATTGATATATTATTTCCCAATAGAATCTGTCCAGATTCCAAAACAATCATCCAGAAATCTTTTCCAGGTCTTCAGGGGGCACTCATTAGTTATTTTGTATGTATTTGCAAGTTTCACAATTTGATTATCAAGCTTAGCCATACAAATGTTTGCATAGGAAGGGGCTGAATGTATTCCCATTGCTGTTCCTATCAATTGTTTGTACAGTTTACCACCAAATTCAAATATGTTATTTGTCAAACAAAATGTTTAGCAGCTCAATCAAAAATGACGTAGGGATAGATTTATCAGTTCTGCCTTCAAGAGCTTCTCTACAGAATTCTAGGCCATCATCCTGAGGTATATTTGTGCTATGTAGAGTTGGCTGGTAAATCATCTTTGTTAATTTCTTCAATACATCTAAAAAAATCCGGAGAGTCCTATAGTTAGGAGGGGTGTAAGTTGGAAAGGGGTATCAGAAAATTATTATTATTATTATTATTATTATTATTTTTATTATTATTATTATTATTATCATTGTTATTATTTTCATTATTATTATTATTATTAATCATCATATCATTATAAAAAGTGTATTTTCAGATTTGATTGAATGCGTAGATTAAGTTTACTAAGATTTATGCCTGTTTTAATAACTATAAGTTTGCTTTTTATAGCAGTTCGCTGGTCACACAGTGCAGGTATAAAGTGAACTGCCTCTTTAAAGGAATTGGCATTATTTAAGTGAGCTAATAGAGTGCAAAAACAATTTCTAGCATCAATTCTAATACCTGAAGTTTACATTGTAAATCCCTATCGTTTAAAAAAGGGAGTGTTCGCGAAAAATGAAAGGGGGTATAGGCTTACGGCGAAAAATAAGCGCTTTTGATTGCTACTAATCTTACTTAAATCTGTTGCGTCTATAAAGAGAAAATTGTTAAAAACTACTTTATACTGCATGAAGAACATAGCGCCCATACAAATTCAGAAAGATGCAATTTACTCGGATCGTAAAAAGTTCAACTTAATTCCAAACAACTCATTCAGATATTACAACCAATAATCATCGATAATTTTCGACGGATTTGTGTAAAGTTGATATTTCATAACATTTTTTATGTTTCATGATATGAGAGTTACTTTTGTAAACATTTATTCCTGCTTCGAGGATTTTTAATAATGAAGACGACGTTTCCATATTTTCATGAAATTTTTGAAAATCCAGCGCCAGCGAATTTCATTTAAAAAACAAAATCAAAAATGAAGACGCAACAGATAGAAATAAGATTAGCAGCGATCAAAAGCGATTATTTTTTGACGTAAGCCTATGCCCCCTTTCCTTTTTCGCGAACACTCCCTTTAAGCAGAAATAACATTGATAATATGATTAAGAATTTAGAAAGAATTCCAGACATTGTTACCACATAAAGGTTGAGAATTCAAATTTATTTCATTATTATTTTCATTTCTCTTGAATATTATTTTTCATCGATTAGAAAAGATACGATATTTTAGCATTTTTCAATATAATAAAGACGACACGGTTATAAAAGGGCAGTGTTGTGGATCGTAACATGCCACTCCCAAATTTAGTAGAACTTTTAACGTCAATCTTTTTGTAATATTTGTTTGATCATATTGGATTTCTTAAAGGGAGTGACCGGCTATGTAAGGTAGTTGAACTGAGTATGCAGTGTTGTGGAAAACTTCTTTCGGATTCATTTGAGACATATTAAACTTTTTAAAGATCTGTAAATCATGAGTTTGAGCGCAAATTCGACGTTTAAAACTCCTACTTCGGGGGTAGATACGTTTTCAGAATTAGTTTTTTTAATCAAGTAAAAATTATATAGTAATCTAATTAAATTGTTAGGAACATATTTCTAAAAATAAATAAATTGATAAATCAATGCTGAAATCGATTATTTCGTTTTCATTATTATATTGAATTTCTTTTTTTCTTTGAATTTTTTCGCAGATTTCTTCAAATTCTTCAAATGTCGTTTTTTCAATAATAATTCTAGAATATCTGCAGAAAATCTTTGTGAACAATGAGAAACCAGAATAATGAGAAAATAGAAACTAATAATTGAATAATCTTATTTTCGATGATAAGATTGATTTTTATCTTCTCAACATGTTCATATACATAACGTCTGTAGTTTATTGTAGAACTTTTTTACATTTTATGTCGTCGTTATTTAATAATAAAAAAACTAATTCTGAAAACGTATCCACCCCCAAAGTAGGAGTTTTGAACGTCGAATTTGCGCTCAAACTCAGGATTTACAGAACATTAAAAAGTTTAATATGTCTCAAATGAATCCGAAAGAAGTTTTCCACAACACTGCATACTCAGTTCAACTACCTTACATAGCCGGTCACTCCCTTTAAGATTCCTTCTTCAAATATAAACTTTTGTGACTTTGCATCATGGACAACCAAGAAGTAATATGACAGTATTCAAAATGTTAATAGAACTATTAAGATAAATTGATGCAGACTGGAGAACTGAAAATGGAGGTTGGACTGCATGGATTCGTGGAGGTTAGTTGAGGTTAAGGTGGCTGCCAGAGTGAACACCAATCTACTAAAATAGTCATATAATGCAAACTAGTATTTTTCACAAGATTGCTTGCAGAATCTACTTTGTTTTAGTTAGTTTTACGCATAGTAGTAGTCTGTTTTGTTACAGTATCATTCCAAGGAACATACATTCTGATATTTTTCAGCACCATCCTGGGAACATAACATTGAATGTAGAAAATATAGAGTCCCCAAAGTATATTCCCGAGAACATAAATATTTTTCTGTTTTGTTTTAGTATCATCCTGGGAACATAAATATTATTCTGTTTTGTTTTAGTATCATCCTGGAAACATACATACTATTCTGTTTTGTTTTTAGTATCATCCTGGAAACATACATACTATTCTGTTTTGTTTAGTATCATCCTGGGAACATGAATAACCATTTTTTCAGTATAATCCTGGGAACATACATATTATTCTTTGTTTTAGTATCATCCTGGGAACACAAATATTATTCTGTTTTGTTTTAGTATCATCCTGGGAACGCAAATATTATTCTATTTTGTTTAGTATCATCCTGGGAACATAAATATTCTTCTGTTTGTTTAGTATCATCCTGGGAACACAAATACTATTCTATTTTGTTTAAGAACATAAATATTATTCTGTTTTGTTTTAGTATCATCCTGGGAACATAAATAGTATTCTGTTTTGTTTTAGTATCACCCTGGGAACACAAATATATATTATTCTGTTTTGTTTAGTATCATCCTGGGAACACAAATATTATTCTGTCAATCCCTCATGGAGGGACCTTAAAACCGGATTTTATAAAAGACAGGTAGAATATTTATGCAGGAGCTGTGTCGGGCTAGATATAAGACGCATGGTAGTTGAACTTAGAATGCACTATAGTAGAGAAAAAAATGACTTATTTCAACCAATTAGATCAGACGTTTTTAAGGTGCATATTTGATAATCAAGAGCGCAAAATTAATATTTTAAATCCCTATTATTGAATGTCCATTTTGGAGGGATGATTTTGGGTATCGGTTTTATTAAAATTATTCATTAACGACGGCGAACAAAAATTCTACAGTTTAGGATCATATTTCTCAAACGGGATAGAATTGATTATTTCTTTTCCATCATTATTTTGAATATCTTATTCTTTGCGAATTTGTTCGCAGATTTCTTCAAATTCAGAATAACTAAATAATATTACTTATTTTCAAAGATAAGAGTTAATTTTTATCTTCTCAACCTGTGCCTTAACAACTAATTTGTTAACTGTGGAATTTCTGTTGCATTTTTCGTGGTCGTTATTGAATACTTAAAAAACGATTCTTAAAACTATCCCTCTAAAATGGACAATCTATGAGGATTTTAAAGATTGAATTTGCGCTCTTGCTGAACAAATATGCACCTTAAAAACGTCTGAAAGGTCTCAAATCAATCATGAAAAAATTCTCTATACAATACTAAATTCTCAGCTTAACTACCATGCCTAGCCAGACACTCCCTATAACCTGTATGCATACTTTTCAACTTAATCAACGCTGCCTAAAAGCCTGGTACTTCAAAAGAACCGAAGTGTTCAGTGGGGAGTCCTCTTAAATCTTTCCCGAGATAAATTACAGTTGATCCGTCCCTGGTTGTATGTTACAACTTTTTGTTAAAGAGAATGATTAATATTAAATTTTGTCCGTTTGCAGAGTACATCCAGACCCTAATGGTGAATATGAGGAGGGGGAGGAGGAGAGGAGAAGATGTAGATCTAGAACTAAAATTGATATTTGTGCAGATAAATATACTTTGCAGATAGGTAACTATTTCTTTATATCTTATCTTACCAATAACTAATGTCTAAAATCCTCCAAAAACAATACAAAAAAATCCCTAAAAATACAATTAAAAAATTCCCCAAAATAGTGTTAAAAATCCCCAAAAAGGAACCTTTGAACATACTCTAACTGAATTCAAATATAACTTAGTACACCAAAAATTTTTCAGGAAAACAACTATCGAAGGACTACACAGATCTGACCAGTTTTAAACCTCATGTTATCCTTTCAAATCTGCACAGGTGACAGCGTAATTTTATTTACAATACAAAATATATTGAATATTGGATACAAGTGTAAGATTTTAATATTTTTAGAAAAATATTATATTGTTTTGATTCATAAACTTTTATTTCAAGGGAATCTCAAAAAACATCAGCCAAGGTCTTTAGAATCTGTATAATATAGTATAATCAACCCTGATTCATAAAACTTTGTTTTCGATCCCTGTGTCGAAAGTGTAGCTTGCAGAGATAAAGTAAATGAAGAGATCAAGTATTGATCCACAAGGGGGGCCCGGGGGGCAATTTGACACTTTGTGACACCAAATTTTGTACATGCTGCGTTTGGTCCTAAAAATTGGGATAGAAGGCTGAAATCTACATGGAGTACGAAGAAAATTTGGGATTGGAGTTCATTGACTTCCAATTTGACGTCAATGAATTCAGAAAATATGGGAAAATACCACCTTTTCTCTCTAATTCACTTATTTTAAGTTAATCAGACATGTTTTCAAATTTTTTGCTACCCCATAAAGCATGTCCTGATATTGACACATACATTCGACCTCTAGTTTGACCTCCCTTCAATAACGACCTCTAAAAAGGTCAAAATATTAAATCAATGTAAATGGGTCATGTGAGGTGTCAAATCATAGGTTTTTTGGTGTTCTGATTTTATTCTGAGACCTTTTTGATTTCAGATGATCCTGGAGGTCGTGACCTTCAGATATTTATGACCTCTAGAGGTCACAATATGATATCAATGAAAATAAGTCATGTGAGGCATCAAATCATAGGTTTATTGGTGTTCCGATGCCATTTTAAGACTTTTTTTGACCTCAGATGATCATGGATGTCATGACATACAGATATCAATGACCTAAGGAGGTCATTGATACAAAAAATGCCCCATTTTCGTTGCTTTTATATTTTGACTGTTTAGGTCCAAACTGGATCCAAATAGACCGCAAACTGTAGCATTAAGCTCAGAAGATTCGGACAGGAAAAATTATGCTTAAATTTTGTATAACACGTGTAATTAAATTATATTTTACGTTAGATGAAAATCCTACATCCTACATCTATATAAACTTTGCTTGTCTGGGAGGGTGTTTGTATGTTTTGTTTGTATCCAATAAACGTCAAAACGGCTGAACCGATCGGGCCCAAATTTTGTGTGCAATCTGCATTGATTTTATTTTCAATATTTGCTAGTTTTAAAACTTTAAAATAAAAAAACAGAAAGATAACTTTATTTTTACCGGGATAAGACTCAATTTAGTTTAATCAAAAGTAAACAAAATATAAAGTTGAGCTAGTTTGTGTAGTTGCAGTTTGCTTCGCAGAAGTTAGACGGGAAAACATGGATTGAAGAAATGCAACACCGTAATTCTTGTTTTTCACCATTTTAGCTTATTTTTACACTGCAGGGAAATAGAAAAAATTTAAATAAAAGTGAGTGTTGGTGAAAAAGAAATTACGTGAGATACATACACGAAAACTACTTATAATTGAATTTCAAATCGAAAAATGCCCACGATTGATTCCAATTTTTTTCTGGCATGTATATTTAGTTATTTGTGTAAGCGGTCGATTTAAATGTATTTCTACATAAAGCTGGGACTGAATTTATTGAATTTGAGCTACCGTCTGAACTGCATACTGCCGGTTCAAATTTGAACCACAGATTCAAAGTTAAAGGAAGGACTTGAATCGGTGATTCTAAGGAACTGACTTTGATATTCTAATCCCTATTTCTTGGAACCCCGATGTTGTAGACCTCTGATATTTCAAACTATGATTTATTCTGTTAGAAGTTTGAAATATTAAAGGTTTATATCATTAATTTGCAATTTATAAGAATTAGAAAATTATAATTTGAGGCAAAAACTCAATTCCTTTTAAGTTCAAATTCATTAAATTCTGTCCTTGGCCCTTTCATCCTAATTCCTGTTCACCAGTTTTAAAGCATAATTGTGATTCAGTGAGATAGCATATAATGAATATCATGAATTCATAAGAAAAGCCTCAAAAGTAAGTTTATTTGGAATTTTTTTTCATTCGAATCCAAAATTACTTTCTCATTCAAAAAAGAATTTAGTTTAATTATTTTAGAAAATTGGAGGGAGGGGCCTTCTTTTAGATATTCACGGACAAAACCATAAACAGGTTAATTTTATATATTTAATACTTATTAATTAATTAAATAATCCTTATTTTTAACTGTTTGTTTGTTCTAGAATAGTGTAGAGTTATGATACCTTATTTTTAAATGTTTTTTTTTTTTTTTGTTCTAGAATAGTGTAGTGTTAGAATACATTATTTATAATTGTTTGTTTGTTTGTTTGTTCTAGAATAGTGTAGTGTTAGGATACCTTATTTTTAATTGTTTGTTTGTTTGTTTGTTCTAGAATAGTGTAGAGTTAGGATACCTTAGCTTTTATTGTTTGTTTGTTCTAGAATAGTGCAGAGTTAGGATACCTTATTTTTAATTGTTTGTTTGTTCTAGAATAGTGTAGAGTTAGGATACCTTATTTTTAATTGTTTGTTTGTTTGTTTGTTCTAGAATAGTATGGAGTTAGGATACCTTATTTTTTAATTGTTTGTTTGTTCTAGAATAGTGTAGAGTTAGGATACCTTATTTTTAATTGTTTGTTTGTTCTAGAATAGTGTAGAGTTAGGATACCTTATTTTTAATTGTTTGTTTGTTCTAGAATAGTGTAGAGTTAGAATCAATTACTTTTACTTGTTTGTTTGTTTGTTCTAGAATAATCTGTAGTTAGGATATATTTTCTTTTTTCTAGAATAGTGTAGAGTTAGGATACCTTATTTATAAATCTGAACTTAATGCTGGGAAGTACAGGTAAATCTTAAAAATGATAGAACTGACAATGATCTTTAATGGGACTGTTCTTGTAACTTTAAGTGACCCTTCAAGACGGTCATGTACGATTCCCAATGGTAACTTTTAATCCAATATCTGATCAATAATGTGGACTGTATCGTCTTTTTTCTTGATTAAAAAGTCTTAAATTTTCACAATTTCGTCTTTGATATAGAGAAACCACAATATTAAGAATACTTTAGAAGTACATTTATTGCTTCTAGATATAATTACATAATAAATAAAGAGTGCATAAAAGGAGAGGAATTTAAGTAGGTCTTCTCTGGTTCCAAGATCCGACACCACTAATCTGCGGATTTCATAATCCTCTTTCGGGGATTTCATATCCTTTCCTCTACAATACCATCTTTTTTAATTTTTAAACTTTATAAATAGAGAGACCATTAATATTCCGTCTTCAGGTTCTTCAACAAATAATACAAATGGTTTAGATAATTAATGTTGCAAATTCTATTTATTATTCTTATTGTTGTTGTTATTTTTCCTAAACAAACAATTCATCAAAGTACTAGAGTAGTGATGGAAATGTTTCTAATTTTACAAAAATAGGCTAGTTCACATCATATTTGTCATTTCAACGATTTACTCGTTTTTTTATCTTTCAAGTTGTAAATGTAAAAAACTTGTACTTAGAAGAATTTGGAAAGATCTGTAAAATTTGCCCTTGTTTCTAAAGTAGGAAACAAAGATACTTGGATAACTATACATGCAAAGAAATTGATTTACTACCTTTATTTATGGTTTTAAATTCCCAATATCTTTGTAACCTGGTTTAGGGTTTAATTTGCAATATTCACAAAAATAGCTCAAACGTGCTCTTTAGGTGTACAAATTCAAAATTTTATTTTGTTACATGCCACATAAAAAAGCGCATTATTATTTTTCCAGTTTATCTTTGTATGTATTTATCCAGTTTATGCATGCATGTATAGCAATAGATGTGCATTTTCTCACAGAATGTTTTTTATCATTAACTTACAAACATATTCTTTTTTAATTAAAGAAGAATTTTTAACAAAGGGAATTGAGTCTTCGCCACAAACTCTGATTTTCTAATCACTATATCTTTGGAACCAAATGTTGCAGACCTTAGAGATTTCAAACTATGTATTCTGTTAAATCAAATAATCGAGTTTGAAATATCAAAGGTTTACAACATCGGTTTCTAAAGATATTGGGGTTTAAATATTTAATTTTGTTACAAAGGCTCAATTCCTTTGGTTAAATTTTCCTGAAAGTGAACAACAAGTTTTGCGCATGAAAACCCTTACCTGGTGGTGTAAACTTTCAAAAATATTTAAAAATTCACCTTTTAATCATAATTTGAAAAATCAAAGATCTATGTCTTCAGTTCAGGTGAAAGTATGTTTAAATTAGAGGTTTAGGCAAGTAATCAGTTCTTTTACAATTAAGAAAGTAAAGAATAAATCCTTAAATCTTATTCTTCATGTTTCAGGAAAAGGAATTCCAGCATACTTAACCTTGCGAAAACAACAGGTTAGATTAGAACATATGAATTGATAGATTTCTTTCTGGAAGGTCAGTAACATCTAAAGGAATTCAGTCTTTGCCACAAACTCTGATTTTCTAATCCCTATGGACCCCAATGTCGTAAACCTTTGATATTATTTTCTTATTTAATCCACTATAAATTCTTATAAGAAATATTGATAAAATCTATAATGTGTTTCAATGCTGAAATCAAAATAAACTTAAGTTTTAACTAAGTATAGGAAAGAATCGAATTCAATTACTTGCAGCGTTGGTTAAAACTTAAAATGTATCGGATTGACGAAAAATAAAACTATCTCGATTTATCTATGAATAAAACTATCTCGATTTATCTATGAATAAAACTATCTCGATTTATCTATGAATAAAACTATCTCGATTTATCTATGAATTACGAAATGTTTTGTTAAAGCATCTTAAAGTATCTGCTCGAAAGATGTTGCAGTAAATTTTTCCGTTAATCTGTAGAAAAGGGGGGTCAAATGATACTCTTGCCACCCCCCTTTTCAAGAGGTCTTCGTCACCTTAACCTTCCCCCTCCTCCCCCCTGTATCCGCGTTTGGACCCTGGGTTGGTGATGTGTGTATTGCAGTGTAAAGTCAAAATTGAAAACAAAATTTCTTGGGAAAAGGTTGATGTTCAACATTTTTGAAATTCTCCAATTTTAGCAGAAAAAAATCCTCGAACTTTAAAGTTTTATGATGTCCGAGGAAAAAATAACAGCTTCTTAGCATTTATTGAATAATTTCTCCATTTAGATATTTTCAATCTTTATTTAATTCTTGGTAATTATTAAGGGTTATCAATAGAGGAATTACTACACGGGGATCTTAGTTTTGGAGCACTTCTAGAAGAAGAAGGATACAAGGTAATTTATTTCATATATTTGGAAAAGGAACTGAGCACTTGTCTCATAGTCAAATTTTATCCATTTGAATATTTCAAGCTTTAAATTTTGCAGTCAAAATTTGTCAAATGAAAGGTTTGCACTATCAGGTTGCAAAGATTTATGTGTTAAAAATTTAGAGTTGTGTACAAATTCTCAGTTCCTTATTGAGGAAAAATTTAAAGCTTAGCTGAAAATAAGATAAATAATTGAATTATTTTGGCTTTGAAAACTGAAATATGCATTAAATCTACATCTAAATCTACCTTTCTTCCCTTACTTTTTCTTACATTTTACATTTCCAATAATGCATCCCATATTTTAAGCAAAATAATTTCAGTTATTATTTAATTATAACAATCTAACTATCTAACTTGGTTATTAAACATATTACAACTTTACTGCTGTTTTTGCAAGCTGTAAAAGTAAAGTAGTCTAAAAGTACCAAGACAATAAAGTGGGGTTTTATCAAATTTAACCTGACTGCAGGTCGGTTTGGAGACGGAAAATTGTGGTCGCTGGGGATGCACAAATAATTTCCTTGCGCTTTTTGAATATTAGTTGGAACAATGAAAATATTGGTTAAAAATAAAATAATTTTATGATTATTATTTTGATTAAAATGAAATATAATATTGATTAGGCAGTTCCATCCCCTCGTCAGCATGCTCCAGGTGGATTAATTGTTTTGCACATTTTTTCAACAAATTTTAATAAAACAACATTTCAAAACATTATACTATTAAACTTAGCTTTTATCAAACGTTACAATATGTTTACAATATGTTTAAATATGTTATCTTAAGATCCGGTTTTTCTCTCGGGGTTAAAATTTGGCATAATGTAAAATTCCAAATGTTTTGAGTCAAAATTTTTGAAAGAAATTGAGTCTCTGCCACAAACTATAATGGTCTCACCCCTATATCTTTGCAACCTAATCGTAAAAAACCTGTGATTTTTCAAACTTAGATCATTTGATCAAACAGAATCAATAGTTTAAAATATCTATAGTCTACATCGACATGGGATTCCAAAGATATAGGGATTAGAAAATCAGAGTTTGTGACAAAACTGTTTCTCAGATTTTATGTAATCTTTTAAAAGTGTGAAAAAATACCGAAACTTACCAAAACAATCCTAACTGCAGGCAAACAGAGATATTATACAGGAGGGTTTATTACACAGGTCAATATGAATTTTGTTAAGGGGGGTCAACTTCACAACTCTGACAGAAGCGTCTAAAAACTCCTTTTTACGTAATTTCCACAGATACTGGTAATCCCACCATTAAACTAGATATTTCACTACCTATATCACGCACCTCGGCCCTTTAGTAAAAGTAAATTCAACCTAAAGTCTGACCGCGTCAACCTTGTTGCACCGGCTAGTCCTATTGAGTGTCTACGTTATTCACCCAATGTCCGGGCGATACAGTACAAACTGACACCGGAAAGGTTGACCCGGCTCGGAAATTCAAATGTACTACGGCTGCCCGTGATATCTTTATAGTAAAGCTCTTCGCTGGAAAATTGGCTGACATTTTTTAGATCACCCATGGGAGTTGCGTAGGCTAAACTAAATTTAAATTTACTTTTAAACTGGGGCAACGCCGGTTACTCAAGCTAATGATGAATACATCTTTTTTTAATGTTCATTTATATCTATAATTTTTTATTCATATATGGTCCAAACTACTGGTGTTTTCGTGTTTCTCCAGTGATATCATTATTTTATATATTATTATTAAGGTTTATGGATCAAGTAGAGGAGGGGAGATAGATTCTATTCAGGTTTAATTTGATTATCTACAGTGACCCCCATAAGAATATAGAATATGAAGACGACATTTAAGCAATCTTAAATGTATTTAGTGTTGTTATATAGCTTGCAGTTGTATCAGTAGCTTTAAAAGTGAAATATATCTCTGTTCATATTCATTTGACTATTTAAGAACATGAATTGAGTTTAACGTTCATCTTCATATTCCACAGTTTACTGGGTCTCACCGTTTTTATCCTTCATGAATATCACAACTTTTCGTATTCTTATTTTGATTTTTTGACTTTTCAAGGTGTTAACATTGTTCGTTTTTTACTCGTATTTCTGAGTATCGTCATAAAACTCGTTATTGAAACGATCGAAACCAAGATTTCCCAATGGGATAGAAAATTTTTGTAGATATTAATTTTTAGGATAAACATATTTTTATCAGATGATTAGTCTCATCATTTCTAATTTTTAAATTGAAATCTACACAAATTTCAAATTTATTGACCCCAAAAAGGAAATTTGGGAGTTTTATTCAACGATAGATACTCTTTTAAAGAAACGCCGGTCATTTTTCAAAACTTTAATTGTGTAGAACAGAACGATGGAATTTTGTTTAACGTTGTCCAAAGTGATGAAATTGTTCAGCAACAACAACTTACTCATAAACCAAATCAAATCAGACTTCTGAGAGTGTTCAATATTCCATACTTCAAATTCAAAGTGACTGTACAAATTCAAAAAAGAAGCCTAGCTTTAAGATTTGCAATGATTTAATTCTTACTTTACAACAATTACTTTAGACATTTTGGAAATGTAATTTTCACTACTGCGGACAACCATAATTAGGCCGGTCTACCAATCTCAGATCCCACTCATTATTCTAAGTGCATTCATATATGTTGGTCAAGTTTTTCTCCGAAGGAAAGAGTTGGTTTAACAGAAAGATTCTCTTTATTCATTTTAGATTGAGATTCCTGGAGAGTCGAGATTTAGCTCCAAAGTGAGAAAGAAATTTTCAAGGTTTTTACTTTTTACAACATTCCGTTTCTGGGCCTTCCAAAAATAAATTGTTTAATTTGACAAAAAGATTTAATCGACAAATGGTATGTTTTAGGGGTCTGGCGAAAGCAGTGCAGAAGTTTCATGCAAGATTCTACGCAGATTAACAGTTTCATAGTTAGTAAACAGTTAGCGCAGATTAACAGTTTCATAGTTAGCAAACAGTTAGCGCAGATTAACAGTTTCATAGTTAGCAAACAGTTAGCGCAGATTAACAGTTTCATAGTTAGCTAACAGTTAGCGCAGATTAACAGTTTCATAGTTAGCAAACAGTTAGCGCAAATTAACAGTTTCATAGTTAGCAAACAGTTAGCGCAGATTAACAGTTTCATAGTTAGCTAACAGTTAGCGCAGATTAATAGTTTCATAGTTAGCTAACCGTTAGCGCAGATTAACAGTTTCATAGTTAGCTAACAGTAAGCGCAGATTAACAGTTTCATAGTTAGCTAACAGTTAGCGCAGATTTACAATTTAATTGTTAAATCAATCGCCATAAAAATTATTATTAATAATAATATTAATGATAATATTATGCAAAATATTATTAATTATTAGTAAATGATAAAATGTTATTTCTGTTATACAGAATAATTGAGCGTTTTTAATTTACATTTCGTATCTTTGTTCATTAGAAGAAAGTTGGTTCATATTTAGTTACAATGTAAATTTCTCATAGTTTAAAATTGACAATTTTATTTTGTCAGACTCATTCCAAAAATGAAATCCTTTTTAGAGAATTAAAAATGTGCTCGAGTGTAAACAATAGTAAATTAAAGTTTTTTCAAAAATTATTACTTATAATCTACATCAAACTTGTTTAAAGTGGTAAAAAATATATATGTATCCAAGCCACATAATCCTTCTATCTTAAATCAGCTTGCGGTTTTTTTTGTTTTTATACAATCAAATCTCTACATGTTCTAACTTGTTTTTTTAAATTGGAATAATTTGTAAGTATTTGTATTACCTTTGAAATAAATGTTTCTACCAAGTGTTTTTTTGTATTTTATTTTAATATTTTAAAAAATTCGAAAAATTAATTTATTTTGACGTGGCTCAGATTGTTTTAAAGAAAAGTGAAGAAGGCTTGTTTATTTGATTCAGAGAAATTCATAATCCATATCGCTAAATTATCTGAAATCTAAAATATTACTTCAGCTAATGAGAACCAGAAAAAAATGGAATTGGAAGACGACATTTAAGCAAAACTTAATTGTATTTGATGTTGTTACAAAGAAAATAATTTTACTAGTCACTTCTTAAATCACTAATTAAGTAAACGGGGTTTACACTGTACAATTTATGTGTCTCATTTCCTTTGGACTATTTAAAGTCATTCATTTTAGTCGAATTGTCGTCTTCTTCTTTTAGAGTTTTCTGGTTCATATGGTCTGGATGATGAAAACGCCTTTTTTCTCTATTAAAAAACGACAATTTGAAGTGTTTAATGCTCTAAAAAAATTCTTTTCCAATTTTCCAATAAAAGAATAAACTGTTTAGTTCAGTTCATTAAACGCTTGCGAATTTAACTATCCAATGCATTAAATGCATAATGATTATTTTTCTGACATATGTTCTATTTTCTGAATATTTGGTCGCTAAGAGAATATTTTAGTACTATGTATGGTTAGGATTAACCAAAATCCACCTTGTACCTTGCACCACAAGATAGTACATATATGGAAGTATATCAAAGAGAGATTGGAGACTTTTTTTCAAGTAACTCGCTTTTTGTTAATATCCGACTTACATCGGTACCAATTAAACCTTTGTCTAAGTCAAGGAACTATGAACAGAAACCCCCGAAACAAATGTACGCAAATTGTGTCTCTCTCCGGTGTCATGCATGGGCAGACTCTTGCATGGGGCGGACTCCCCATAAAGTTTGAACCATTTCAACACAATGTAGACATAAAAAGTAATGTTTTGACATTTTCCGATATTTATTAATGTATTTTGATTTCAAAAACCCATTAAAATGACAGGGGGTATAGGCTGAATGCGATAAAAAAGCGCTTTTGATCGACCCAAAGAAGTTCGTAGTAAGATTTCGATTCTACTGGAGACCACCGGAGGGATTTTATTTTCACTGGAGGGGTTTCAAAAAATGCTTTTTACAATTTACCTAGGAAGGATAACTGAATCCCTCCAGTGGAATTATAAACCCCTTTGAAGGATAACTGAATCCCTCCAGTGGAATTATAAACCCCTAGGAAGGATATCTGAATCCCTCCAGTGGAATTATAACCCACCCGGAAGGACATCTTAATCCTTCCAGTGGAATTTTAAACCCCTAGGAAGGATAACTGAATCCCTCCAGTGAAATTATAAGCCCCTTGGAAGGATAACTGAATTCCTCCAGTGGAATTATAAACCCCCATGAAGGATATCTGAATCCCTCCAGTGGAATTTTAAACTCCTAGGAAGGATAACTGAATCCCTCCAGTGGAATTATAAACCCCCATGAAGGATATCTGAATCCTTCCAGTGAAATTTTAAAGTCCTAGGAAGGATAACGGAATCCCTCCAGTGAAAATATAAACCCCCAGGAAGGATATCTGAATCCCTCCAGTGGAATTATAAACCCTTAGGAAAGATATCTGAATCCCTCCAGTGGAATTATAAACCCCTAGGAAGGATAGCTGAATCCCTCCAGTGGAAATTTAACCCCCCAGGAAGGACATCTGAATCCCTCAAGTGGAATTATAAACCCCCAGGAAGGATATCTTTATCCCTCCAGTGGAATTATAAACCCCTAGGAAAGATATCTGAATCCCTCCAGTGGAATTATAAACCCCTATGAAGGATAACTGAATCCCTCCAGTGGAATTATAACCCCCCAGGAAGGACATCTGAATCCCTCCAGTGGAATGTAAATCACCCTGCGTAAAGATTTGAATTGTAAAAAGCATTTTTTCAAACCCCTCCAGTGAAAAAGAATTCCCTCCGGTGGCCTCCAGTGGAGTCAAAATCTTACTACGAACTTCCGTGACTCCTTTTGATCGCTAATAATCTTACTTCTATCTGTTGCTTCTATAAAGAGAAAATTGTTAAAGACGTCTCATACCGAATAACTTAGCGCCCATACAAATTCAGAAAATTGCAAAATATGACTTAGACCGTAAAAACATCAATTTAATTCCAAACAAATCATTCAGATATTACAACATATAGTCATCGATTATCTTTCGCCACATTTGTATATAGTTTATATTTTAAAATATTTTTGAATTAATTTGCTTTGAATTTGATCATTTCTCTTTCTCTTGCGCAACTATCTAAGAATGTCGCGCACCACTCACATTTTTCTAAATCCGTTAAAAACGTTTTCTGAAAAAAATAAAATATTATAAAATATAAACTATACAAATGTGGCGAAAGATAATCGATGACTATATGTTGTAATTTCTGAATGATTTGTTTGAAATTAAATTGATTTTTTTACGGTATAAGTCATATCATATGTTGCAATTTTCTGAATTTGTATGGGCGTCTTTAACAATTTTCTCCTGATATACGCAATAGATAGAAGTAAAATTAGTAGCGATCAAAAGCGCTTTTTTTCGCATTAAGCCTATACCCCCTTCCATTTTTCGCGAAAGCTCCCTTTAACGTCCAAGTTCAAGGCAGAAAACCTTAAAAATAGTCCCTCCTAAAATTTCTCTGACGTTTTTTTTTGAATAAATGCATGTGCCTACTGCCCACCATGTGCCTCATTATCCCATAGCATCAAAATATAACAATAAAACAAAAATTTCTAGATAATAACTTTATTTCATAACAGCATTATAGATATGATAACAGATTTTATAACAAAATAAAAACATCTTGTCCCAAACTTTAAACTCATAGATAAAAACTCTGATCAAAAAATCTTCGCAACTAGAATGGATTAATGTATATTTATTAAGTGAATGGATTTTTACAAATCCAGCCCATTGTGCGGATAAAAACTTTTCGTACAAAAGAACTTAAAAAATCTTGTTTTAAAGTCTCTAGTTATATGATTATTAACAAAATAAATATTATTTAACAATACAGGACAATACAGGGTGGGGCGGAACTACATCAATACATGTAAATCTAAATACAGGGTGGTGATTCAGAATAACTTATTAAATTTACTTTACTTTGAGCTTTAGTTAGTTAACAAATTGTCTGTAAATTGACAAACATAAGATTTAATGTACACAGTTAAAAAAAAAACTTTAATTATATTAACAAATAAAATGTAATCGGTATATAATTAATATTACTGGTTAACTACCATGGTCAATTTCAACTTCTGAAACCTAAAAGAGAAAACTCCATTAAAGGTGAAAACAATTGTGTAAGCAAAGCAAATCTATTTTTATTTATTCTAAATGAAAATATAAAATATCAGAAATAGCGCAAATATGATTTTTGCAGTTGCGCTTTCGAAAAATTGTACTTTTTTTAGGGATACATAAAAGTGACAGAAGCTGAAAAGGTAAAACAAAAAAAAATGTCAATTGTTATAGTAATCAAGCCTCTATGTTCTATTTAGTATTGATGATAAAAAATAGTCCATTAATTAACTTCTAAAAAAATAAGATAAAACGAATTTAAAAAAGAGCCTCTAAATAATGTACCCCGTTAAAAGAAAAAATAAGGGTCTTAAGTTTAAGTGGATAAAGCCGCTTATTCACACCTATTCACAGTTTAAACTCGATTTCAAAAATGAAGGATTTAAGTTCAACAGATAATTGAGAAATGAATCAAAGAATCCGAAGTGAGAGAGGAGTTGTTTTGAGCAGATTAAAAAATTAAAAGTTTTGACCTTAGGTATTAGTAAAACTGTCTGTAGAGATGTTCAGTAGATTGACCGGAATTGAGAAGTAGCCAAGGGTTGTACTCCTCAGAGTAGGTCACAAACGGAACCTAAAATAAATGTTTTTAAATTTTTCTTTTGAATTCTTTAAATTTTTTAAAATCATATTATTTAAGAACTTATTGCAAAGCTATATCACATTTTTAAAAATGCCCAAACAAGATGCAATTTAAAATGTGAGAAGTCAGTTACCATTTTTCAGAGTTGGAATTACGTTCGTTTAAATCTCAGAATATAATGCCCGCATTTTCAAATTAAAAGCTGACCTCAGGATCTTTTTTCTCCGGCTCATAAAATTCAATATTTTTCGGTATTCCATTTGGGAGTTTCACAAAGTTCTCTTCCTCCTCCAGCTCTTTATATGCTGCTGCTGATGATCCAGTTTCTTCTGGGGTTCTATCCGCAGCGTCCTCTGTATCTCTAGCCGCAGTGCCGAATATTGTCTGGTAGGGATCAACGTTAGAAATCAATCTCTCTCTGGGATCCTCATATTCATAATCAGGATACTCCTAAAAATAATTTTACAAAATAATTGTAATTAAAGTTTTTTTCTATATTTGGGCAAAAACTGTAAGACGACTGTAAAACGCAGTGAGAAATTTTAAAAATTGTCTTTTAATTCATATTTCTAATTTAGATCTTTAATATATGGCAAAACTACTATAGGACCCGTATAACGGTGGAATGGTAAGATGGTTGTGTAACTCAGTGAGAAAATAAAGATAAAAATGTTTGCAACTGTCAAGACGTAAAAACAATATGCCTCAACAAATTTGGGTTAAAACAATACTGTATGTACGTAGGAATTATTTACATACAAGCCTGAGAACCAGCTTAGTTTTTTCCATAAAAGTCAATTTATTATTTCTAGGAACGTTCCCATGATTCTACAGAGTTCCCAAATCAAAATTTGAGGCAACTTGGTCCAGGGGTTCACGAGTTATGATCGGACATCCAAACAGACAGACAAAAAGAGATTACTATTTTATGTACATATATATGTATATTGATAATGATCATAAATCCCATTTACAATTTCTATTTAATTACTAAACTTCAAAACAAAACCTTAAATTTTCTTATTCTCCAAGCTGTACATAATGAATTATTAGAATATGAATTTTAATGTGATATAATTGCATGGTAAGTTGGCACTGAATTTGCAATCTCATTCTTAAGATATTGCACATTTTATTAGATGTATTATCTTTAAATATATATAGGTGTATTTTTATAAATTCCTTTTTACATAATACAATAGCAAGCATCATAAATCAAAGGAAGCAATAGTAATAATAAAAATAATGAGAATAATATAAAATAATGATAGGAATATAAGTGCTTGACACGCCCATTACTAGTTAGGGTTTCCAACTCTAGTTCAAGAAATCACATTTCCGAAGTTTCGATGAGGCAAATATGAAAAATCAAGATTTCGATCATTTTGGTGAATTTCGAACATTTCCCCAAATTTTGGGAAAAGTTCCTAAAATTTGCTTTTCTACAGAAAAACAAAAAAAAAACTAATAAAAATAAAGTTTATATAATCAGAGTCCCTTAAAACTTAAAATTTTATTGCGTAATTATAATTTGCGAATTTCGAAATTGGCGATATTCTTCTGAAACCCTGGTGCTAACCCCAACCTTTTCCTTACCTTTACATAATCTTCTATCCTTGGATCCTTGTATCTATTCCCAGACCCTCCTGGAACAACAAGATTAAATATTTTAAACAATTTATATTTTTTTATTCTGTTTAAATGAAAAGTGTATTATGATATTAATAAAAATGTATCTTTAACTATTCCCTTGTGGTAGAGAGTTTCGACTGCTTCAAAATAAACTTGATAGAACTCAGAGAAAATATATTTCATATCCTCCTTAATTCTTGTGGTGTAGTGTTTAAGCAGGAACTGTTAAAAATGACTAAATAAAAAAGACTGATTAAATATTTACCGTATCCCTGGGGATATCCATAATCCATGTATTCTTGTCCATGTCCATAATCTGTATCATAGTAATTGTAATTCAGTTTATTTGTATCATCATCTGCATCTTCAAACTTCATTGTGTTCCCTGAAAAACCAGGAGAATACTGTTTTAAACTATAAAAAATAATAATAAAATAATCTTTATTTGCATACAAATAATATATCTGCCTATGTATCTATCTATTTAACGTGCCTGTTTTTGGTTAGGCTTTATGTTGAAAATGTTAGAGCACAGTTGATAAAAAAATATCATTTCTTTTTTAAAATCTTTATTTATTTTGTATTTAAAACAATAATAAAAAGATTTTTGTCATCTCTTCTGAAAGTATTAATATCAAATATTTTTAAAACGACAGGGTGTTTAAAATTATTAATTTTACAGGGTGTACCAATATACCTGTTATTGATCCAATTACTTTGCTCGCAGTCTCAACAATATCATTTCTCTTCATTGCAGACAAAGCTCCTGATCAATTATAAATAATTTTAACCCAGTATGTAATAATTAATATTAACAATAACAATGATATAATGATAATAGTAATATAAATAACTGGCTGAAGTTATTATATAAATAATAAAAAACGGTAGTGATTATCAAACATATGAATAATGTTTATGATAAAAGATTACTTTGGATTAAAATATCATCCGTAAAAATAACTTAATACATATTAAATATACTGTATTAAAAAGCCCTCAGCACTCCTTTAAGATTTTAAAAATACAATTGTGTTAGTTAAGTTTAATTTTGATTCACAAAAGTACACTTCCGTTTTACGACCATTCGAACATAAATTGAGAGATAACACACAAAGTTCTCTGAACTCGGCGATCAGACAAAGGTTTTAATAGTACAGTTATTAAAGCGACTTTGTTTGTTTGAAAAAGAGTCACTTTAATAGCGGTTTAACTTGCTTTTGGAACTATTAACATAATTGACCTAAAATTCAAATCTTTTCTGGGGTTATTTTTAACAAGTGCCCGGCGTTGCTCGTGAAAACAAAAAGAATTGAATTTTGAAGAAGAAAATAAATATATTTTTTTTAAGTTTAACTTTTTAGCCTATGTTACCCCAGGGTGGGTTCCCTCAAAATTTATATATTTATATTTATATATATGAGCTTTATAATATATGTAGATTACCTTGTGCTAGTGAGGTCGCTGAGGTTGCGAGGTCGGAGTCCATATTGGTGGCCAGGCTATATGCTACAGTTCCAAGAGCTCCTAATATTTGAATAATTTTATGTCAATTTTTAGAAATTATTGATTATTGGGTCGTTAATGGACGTCAGTTTTTTTAAATAAACGGAAAATTCAGTTAACAACCGAACTAAGCTAAAGATTCCGTCAACAACCGAACTAAGCCAAAGATTCCGTTAACGACCGAACCAAGCCAAAGATTACGTCAACGACCGAACCAAGCCAAAGATTCTGTTAACGACCGAACTAAGCCAAAGATCCGGTTAACGACCGAACTCAGCCAAAGATTCCGTTAACGACCAAACTCAGCCAAAGATTCCGTTAACGACCGAACCAAGCCAAAGATTCCGCTAACGACCGAACCAAGCCAAAGATTCCGTTAACGACCAAACTCAGCCAAAGATTCCGTTAACGACTGAACCAAGCCAAAGATTCCGTTAACGACCGAACTAAGCCAATGATTCCGTTAACGACCGAACCAAGTCAAAGATTCCGTTAACGACCAAACTAAGCCAAAGATTCCGTTAACGACTGAACCAAGCCAAAGATTCCGTTAACGACCGAACTAAGCCAATGATTCCGTTAACGACCGAACCAAGCCAAAGATTCCGTTAACAACCGAACTAAGCCAATGATTCTGTTAACGACCGAACTAAGCCAATGATTCCGTTAACAACCAAACTAAGCCAATGATTCCGTTAACGATCCAAATAAGCCAAAGAAAAACTTCAACACTTTTTCACACCTTTTAAATAAACTGAAATTACAATGAAGCATTCCCTATAATAAGTCTCTAACGATCCATTACTAATTAAAAATGACAAGCTGGCAGCTAAACAATAAAAATGCACCTGTAGTTAGTAGACCCAGGGCTGCGTAGGTAGGATTTATTCCAGACTTAACCTAGAAGAATAAAAATAGATTAGATTTTTCCGCATTTCGCAGTAATATTTTACATACATTTTCTATTTAAATGTTTAGTTAGTTTTTAAAAAAGCATTCAATTAATAATAGAAAAAAATATTTTTAAAAAATAACGGTTTTTTTAAGTATCAGAAGTCAAATTTTTTTCAAGTTGCCTTGATCTCCATTTTGTACAGAACTACGGGATAATTTGTATCCCTATATTTGATATCCCGTGGTAACTGGTGGCCAAACCTTGCAGAGCTTTAATTAAGGGAACACGTGTTTATCCTCAAATTGTAAAGTGCCCACATTGGAAATGGAAATCAAGGCGTGAACTGTACAGAACAGTACAGTAGACGAGGATCTACATTGTACAGAACAGTACAGTAGACGCGGATCTACAGTGTACAGAACAGTACAGTAGACGCGGATCTACAGTGTACAGAAAAGTACAGTAGACGCGGATCTACAGTGTACAGAACAGTACAGTAGACGAGGATCTACATTGTACAGAACAGTACAGTAGACGCGGATCTACATTGTACAGAACAGTACAGTAGACGAGGATCTAACTTGTTGGTCCCTTTCCCAGCAAGCTATAACTTTCATATTTTTTTATTTCATATTTTTATTCAACTACAAATCACGAGATAATAAAAATAAAAAAATCACAATTTACTATGTAGTTTGAACCCGCCTAACCAGAGTAGGTTGTTTTAATTGGTTGGCCCACTATAAACGAATGAGAATTGCAAATAAAAACAATGTAAATTGTACATTTTAAACACAAGAATGATGATAAATCAGGAAAAAGGTAGGGAGGAGGTGAGGGAGTATAAGGGAAAGGGAGGATACTTAGTGTAAGGGTTGGAACAGAGGGTAACATATGTTATTAAAATCATGTTTATGAACTACAGGGTGAAGAAGATAGTAAAGACTAAGTTTATCCACATGATACACAGTTTTTTTTTACAGATATAACTTTTTATTACAATTTGACTAAAAATAAAAGTTTTTCCCTTCCCCTTAATACTGATTTGTCGGCGTCTGTGTTAAATAAAAGAATGTATAAAAAAGCATAATAAATAAAGAAATAAAGATTGTTGAATTACAGATCAAATAACATTTGATTTAAATAAAAAATGAACTCATCCCGCTCTGGTTAGTCCAGGGTGAGTACATGTAGACTGCACATTATGCATGTACATTGTACAGTGTAGATTACCTGTGAATATGTGGTTGCTGTTGAACCACCTGGTGACCCTGATGATAAGTCCGCAGGGGGCGAAACAAAGAACTGAGCAACCTAAATTTATATTTAAAATCGGTTGTCATACTTTCTTTTGAATTATTACAAAGTCAATAGTTCGTTACATTTTAATTGAAATTTAAAATTGTCGTAATAAATTTAAAATTGTTGCAATAACACAAGTATGTTTTTGTTTGTTTTTAAGTGTAAATGAAAAGTAGAGTTGTTACAAGGTCTGGCAATGTCGTCCCAGTAAATCCTGTAGTGGAGTGGCAAATACCTGGTTAGCCGCGGCTGTGATCGTCTGTGGTAAAACCGACACGGCGCCAAGAATACCCGGACCTTCAGCGACTGCGGTGTCCACTGCCGCCTGGCCGATTTTGTTGTCGGCGGCCGGCTGGCCGTTGATTCCGTTTCCTGATAATGAGTTGATGAACTGATTAAAGTTCTGGTTTGCGTTGTAAAGTGCCAGGGTAATCGTATGCTCTAGAGTCCCAGGTGTTGGTAATCCTGCAACAGTATATATATACATATATACTAAGTATTAATTTTTTTTTCTTTGTTCATATGTCCGATCATAACTCAGGAAACCCTTTACCGATTGGCCTACATTTTTGATTGGAAAACTTGGTAAAGTTATGGGAATGTTTTTAGCCTGGTTTAAACATTCTAAATTGAGTGGGTTGACTTTTAATTATTAAGTTAAGAATGGAGTACAAGAGTCCCTTGGAGACAACAGGTCGCATAGAATCGCCAACCTTTATTAAATGATGGGTTGTCCTTTATATAGTAATAGTAATCAGAAAACCTCATATCAATAATGTGTTACCTGGAATAGCCTGCTCCGTCTCTGAGTTGGTTGAAAAAGATCCTTGAGTTGAACCTGAGCTTGAGCTTGAGCTTGCAGATGAACCCAACACAGAGTTCAAGAGATCACCAGCTCCTTTATTATAGAATTAATAACATAACACTTTTTCTATTTTTCATTTTTTTTTTATTGAATTTTTATGATTATTTACCGTTCAAACAACTATTTAATCTCCTCTCATTGATGCATTACAGCTTTTTTGCCTTACAGATAATTAAAGACATATTTCGGCTACTTCATAAATCTTGCTATTTAGATCTGTGTAAGGCAAAAAAAACTGTAATGTCTTGTTAAAATGGGAGATAATACAGTAATTAGAAGTTTAAAATCGCTTTTCTGTATTTATCTACTCTAGTGAATGCAAGCAATACTTTAGGATAAAATAGTCTTTTAATATATTTTCTACCTGAAAATATTCCTTGCACTGCTCTGACCGGAGCAGCGGCAACAGCTGCTGCTGCGGCAGCTGGACTATCCTAAAATTATGGAAGAATGAATGAAGAAATGAAGAAATTATTGAAGAAATAATAAGTAAACGGAAGAATGAATAAATTAAATGAAAAGAGATGAGAGGATGAAAGAAAGAATTAAAGGATGAAAGGAAGAATGAAAGGATGAATGAATGAATGAATAAATTAATGGTTTAATTACTAATCTGTAAACCAGGAACTATAGCTTTAAGTGAATGAATGAAAGAATGAATGAATAAATGGTTTAATTACTAACCTGTGAACCAGGAACTACGAGCTGAGGAAGGATAAAAGGATGAATAAATAGTCTAATTACTAACCTGTGAACCAGGAACTACGAGCTGAGGAAGGCTGTTATGAGCTAATGTCTGAGCTAGGAGTAACTGAGCCTAGATAAATAGGTAACGTCCATGATTTTGAATTGCAGTATTCGTAAAACTAGTTTAAAGAAACTTACAAACACTGTCTTTACTCTCGCTATATTTTCTCTACCTTGTATCTTCGTCGCTATAGCCATAAAATCAATGGGGATACGTTGACAAATGTTTTCTTTAAGAAAATTGAATAGAACTCATAACATTGCTGAACAGTGAACAATCTCTTGGAAGTTATTATGTAATTATCACTTCATGTTTTCTAGTTCAGAATACATAATGATTAGACCAGTCGAATACATGGTAATTAAGTCACATAAACATCCTGTTCTAAATTTCAGTTAAACCAGGTAAACGTTCCGTCCTAAATTTCAGTTAAACCAGGTAAACGTCCTCTTATAAATTCCAATAGAACCAGATAAACGTCCTGTTATANTTATTATTATTATTATTATTATTATTATTATTATTATTATTATTATTATTATTATTATTATTATTATTATTATTATTATTATTATTATTATTATTATTATTATTATTATTATTATTATTATTATTATTATTATTATTATTATTATTATTATTATTATTATTATTATTATCATTATTATTATTATTGTTATTTTTATTATTATTATCATTATCATTATCATAAACGTTATTGAAAGTTAAAAAGTGGCCAGTTACCAAAGAATAATATTAGTTAATATATTCATCAAATTATGCCGGTATTACAAGTTTCCCAAAAGGTGTATTTTTTGCCAAACTATAACTTGCAAACTTCAGTCAATTTGTTGTAAATTTGAAACTTCTCACTAAACTAACCGCACTAGATAAATCAAGCTATTCTGCAACGAAGATTTAAAACCTGGAAATATGTGTCCTCATTACAAAGTTCGAACGGAAATTTATAAACTGCTTAATTTTGTAATATTTTTCAGCTATTCGATTTTTTCTCTTCTGTTTTGAAGGTTTAACATAATTAGTTTGAATAATTTATTTTACATACAAATAAGAATTGTTTTTGCAAAATTTAAATGTATGTTTAAATATTACCTGCAGAAATGAGTATAGTATAAAGAAGTCAAAGTAAATTTAAAAAGGGTTAAATAGACCAATTTAACACTGCAAACTCTAACTTGCTAATCTCTTTTTTTTTGCATCTGATGGTGTAAACTTCTAATATTTTAAACTTTAAATTTAGTTTGATCTGGTTGTTTCATAAATTCAAACAGCAAATAACAAAAGCTTTGTTTTTGGCAGAGGGGAGGGTGAGGGGGGGCAGGTTATGTCCTAATTTTCTAATCTTTTTATTACTAAACATATTGTTATTTGTTACATGTTATGTAAAATATTTCATTTCTCTTCGAAACTTGGCATCCTTGCCAAACCTTTTTTGACGTTTGACTAAATACATTTCTGACGCAATTTTAATAATTATGTGCGTCACATTCTGACAAATAAAGATTTCTTTTTAATGTTTTAATTCTATAATTAGAAGAGCAGGAAGTGTGACGGAGCTTGTATTTAACTATAATATAACCCTCTAGGGTGTTATGTGTAATTATCTAATTTCAACCTTGAATACTGCTTGCTTTTAAACCAAAGTGTATTCGAAGAATACGTGATTATTGAAACAAGCACGTGCATTAAAAACAATACAATATATCATTTATATAATGCATGTAAATTCACGTTAATTCAGATGTCCTTGTTAAAAAAGTCAGCTTCAGTTTAAGCATTCACTTTCTAACTTATTTTAGTCCATTAACTGATTTTTTTGTATGATGTCCTTAGTGTTTTCTTTTTGTAGTCCGTAGTGCATATTTAGGTATATTTAGGTTTATTGCAGTTGTGGTTCAATTATATAAATTATATAAATTATACAAATTATATAAATTATATAAATTATATAAATCTCGTGGCTTTTTATTTAGAATGTTTTTTATTAAGTTTTTTAGGACATACTTTTCACTTTACATCGCATTTGTAGATTTTTTCACAAAAAATATTGGAATTTTTTTAATTTTGAAAATAGCATATTGACTGTATCCACATTTCTTTACATCTTATCTAACCAAATAGTAAGTTTTGTGATTTAATCAGATTTTATAATGTAAAATCTAATTTGAAATTAAAAAATGTTTTTTAATGTAAAATCTACACAATATCTTAAATTTGAAATAAAAAAATGTTTTTTATGTAAAATCTATACAATATCCTAAATATGAAATTTAAAAAAAAATTAATGTAAAATCTATACAATATTCTAAATTTGAAATTTACAAAATGTTTTATAATGTAAAATCTATACAACATCCTAAATTTGAAATTCAAGAAATGTTTTATAATTTAAAACCCAACCAGGATCTTGAATGTAAAACTAAAAGGAAGACAAGATGCTGAAAATAAAAGATAATGAGAGGTAAACTCATTGTGAGAATCTTAATAAAGCATAAAACAATATTAAATATAAATTATTTTACAATTCTAGGATTGATCTCTAATGTAATATCTTACCAACGGAATAGAGTCTTTGCCACAAACTCCGATTTTTAATACCAATGTCTTTTTTATCTGAGTTTAAACTATATATTTTAAGTTTGAAAGGTATACACTTTCAGGTCGCAAAGATATAGGATCGTGTCAGAAAATATGAGTTTGTGGAAAAAACTTTTCCTCTTTAAAATTGTATTCTCAAAGTTAAGTAGAAGAATATAACTATCAAAATACCATGTTCATTATTTTAATTATATTCAAATTTACTTCTTATCTTATTACATGAAAAATAAAAATTAAATTGCAAATATTCATTTTTCACGAAACTTTCTTTTTGCAAATAGTTCATAGTTAAAGTCCTTATTTTCTTTATACACCATGTTTTGACAATTTTAAAACTATTAATCCTGTTACACAATACACAATGTTTTGGCAATCTTTTTTGCGAATTAGCGTGTTCAACATTCTTTTTTTCACCCCCCCCCCTTCCCTCTCTTTACAATTACCTCCCCTAAATTGATTGCTTCACTTTTTCAGTTTAATTAAATGTTCTCTTAGTTTTGTTCCCTTTATATTTCCTAATTTTGGTTTTCTTCAAACCAAAATTGTTTTACCGTCTTCAAACTGTTTAAGCGAAGGATCTCTGCAGAAACTAGGGAATGGCGATTTTTGCAAACCACAAAATAATACTTTTGAAATAGACAGTTGTAGACCGAGTTCGAATTAAAATTTTTTTAGTTGATATTTTAATATTAAAAATAAATCCCACATTTTTCTACACGTACACGTTCCAGAGCTATTTAGAAAAATTTTATTTTTAAATTCCAAATTCTTGAAATTGTGATTTTTTGATGAAATTACCTGAACACAATAATGTTTCCAGTTGAATGTTCTTTTGTTTAAATCTCTGCATCAAATCTTGCTGTTTTATGTTTAATAGTTTTCTCTTTAAAACGGGATTTTTACCTTTTTCTTTTGTAGAATTTCTGCTGGAGTAAGATTTGTTTCAAGTTGGGTATCTGCCGCTATTCCAAGCTTTTCCACTAAAAAACACATTAATTCTCAATATTAGCCGTAATCTAGGAATACCATTATTATTAGCCGCTATAACCTATTAACATTATCAATATTAGCCGCTAATCTAGGATTATCATTAATATTAGCCGCTATAAACTATTAACATTATCAATATTAGCCGCTAATCTAGGATTATCATTAACATTAGCCGCTAAAACCTATTAGCATTATCAATATTAGCAGCTATAACCTATTAACATTATCAATATTAGCCGCTAACCTATATAATATTGATCAAAGTTTAGATGAGTTTCTTTTAACTGACAACTATTGCATTACAGGCAAAGCGTAACATCTTGCTAATGTTTAAGTTTTTAATTTTGAAAATCTGGGACAGATTGAGGAAGGAAGTAAATCTTCTGATACAAAATTATAAAAGATGTTTTAACCACGTCAAAAACAACTTTGCTATTTGCCTCAAAATCATCTTTAATTGCGAACTTGATCGAAGTTTACCCCTTGCCTAAACTTTAGTAAAACTAACGTTATCCTCGAAAAAGGGAAATTTTCCCGCATTCCACGAGGAACTGATCTATTAATCACGTAGAACTAACAACATATAAGTGCATGCTGTTTGTATCTGAATATTTTTAGTCATATTTTGATCTCTCATTAAAAATTAGTCAAAATTAGCGTAACAAAATAATAGCCCAAACAAGAATCAAATAGAAAATGCAAATAATCTACATATAAAGGGTGAAAATGGGTTTTCAGACGCATTGGACTTTTAACCAGGACCATTGACCGGATTCTCCCTGTATATCCGGATTCTCCCTGTATATCCGGTTATACGTCAATTGTTTCTGAAACCTCCTTTTCTCTCCGGAAAAAATGTTTCCCTGAATTAAGTAAAATTGTTGAAATGTAAACATTTCGCTCCTTAATCATGAGAACTTAGAGAGGGAGGCCAGAAAGAGAGAGTTGTATGATGATTGGTTTGAATTTCAATTTATATTTCTTTATAAAAACAAAAATGCATTTGTATCTGCAATTTTCAGCTCAGATTGGGATTTTCAACTTATTTTTTATTTTCTGTTGAGACTTTTTTAACACATTGTCCTTCTTTCATCCTATAGTGATTTTACATCCTTCATTAATGTTACTCTATTAAGATAATTCAATGCCTCCAAACTGTGTACGAGAAAAAGGCCTTAAAGAACAGGTATAGGGTTGAAATGCATGTACATAGCCCAATTTTTGTGACACATGAATCAATTTTTAAAGGGCTTTTCAAAAATTTAGTTTTTGGAATTGTAGCTTTAGTCATAAAAAAGTTATGGGCTATTTTAGATTTTTTTTGCACACAGACCGAACTTTTTACCGCCCTGTACCCTAGCATATGCATTAAAAATTTTTACAAAAAATCCTTTAAATTTCTTTTTATTAAAAGTCAAAAACTTCATGGTGATAGTGTCAAAAATAATAGTGCTAGGGCAAAAAACTAAAGAGGGGTTCCAAACACCCCCCCCCCATTCTGATTAGGATCAAGGTACGACTTTGCGGTTTAATAACGTCGAAAATTAGATTGTGCAACCAAAAGAGATGCATTTGTGTTTTTTAAAAAGGATTAGGTACTTTCCCAAAGGCCCTTTCCAAAGAGCAACCTCCCAATTGACAATTTCCCAAGTGGTAACTTCATAGATCTGCAATTTCCGAAGCGGCAACTTCCCAAATGTACAATTAAGGTTTGGTTACCCTTCTGATCCAGCTTTTTGAAAAGGGGGGGGGGTCAAACTCCTAATAAAACTGGGATGATGTTGTGGAGTACCAAGCGAAAATTGTGAGTGAGAAGGGGGTTAAAAAATATTGAAAATAGGGCAAGCATATCGTCAAAAATGTTTTTTCTCTATCTAAATTTTTGTAGTTCTCAAAAAATGGTTTTTTTTGCATTAATTCGTTAAATTTTCGATTTTTTTATATTCTGTTAACCTGCAGTTTCAAAAATTTTGAGTTTAAAATTTTAATTTTGATATTTATAAAAATTGAAATTTAAAACAAGCCAATTCAGCATGTACAGTGTACACTCCAGTTCATTTTATATGCCGGGCCAAATTTCAACTAGCCAGAACAAGCTGTACAAGTACAAATACAGACTATATAAGGCAAAACAGGATAGAACGTCAAATGAATGATCCCCTTCTAGTGAAATGTCTGTGAATTAGAACTCCAAGTAGAATACTATTTTTCATCTGAAAAATGTCACAAAATTTCACACCCCGGCCCTACTATCGTTTTTGTTAACACTTAAAATCAAAAGATACTGTTGACCCCCCTTTTTTCAAAAGGGGGTCTGCTCCCCCTTGCTCCCCCTGTATCCGCGCCTGGTTCCTAAAACTAATAACAGAGCATTGGTCTAGTAAACTGAGTTTGGATTTATGGTTAAACTACGTAGATTCTAATATATGAGTCATTATCTTGTTAGGTCCATTAATGATAATTTCATCTAATTAATAATACAACCCGGATATATGACCATTCCTAAACATGTGGTTTTCAATAAAATAAACTCAACAGTTGTCTAAATACTAATCTGTCCAATATAAAGACCATCTGTTAAACCAAGCCCATGAGAANAGTTTAATGTTAAACTCTTCATGGGACTTTACTTAATCAGCTTCGTGACAAAGGCTGAGGTGTAGATTAAGCGGGTCAATAACAATTATTATTATAATACGGAGCATTCTGTATTGAGATTATTATTTATTATCTATTATTATCTATTATGTATAAGTTGGAGAACCCGACGTTGCCAAAGTTTAAATATACTTAAAGAATTTAAATACAAGTTTTAAAATTTAAAAAGTTAAGGGTACCGTTGTAAATGAGGAAATGCCATTATTTAAATGGAAGGTTATATAAAATTACTTCTAAGTAAGTTTGCTAAATATTTTTTGTTCATTTCAGTAACATTAACTAATTCACAATTTTATTATAGTTCATCCTATATATCCACTCTTCTTTTTTCGAGAACATTCATCTTAATATTGACAAAATAACCCCTTATATTGCATGACGATTTTTGCAAAAGTTGAATCACCCTGTATAGAAAACGCGTGTCATTACATGTTCCAGTTTGTGTGTACTAGGGGTTATAATTTAGAACTCTTTATCTCCCGTAATATCCTTTAATTGCCCCGTAAATAGCAAAAACTACTTCATGATAATTATAGTAATAGAAAAGTGACAATCTAACAGAGTTATACAGTTCCTTGGGAAATCATACAGAGAGTTTAAGTAATATTTTATTCTAGTATAACTTATAAACTTCAAGAGAGAGTTCCATTGTGAATTTTTACAGAGTTACAGAAAACTATTCTGATACAAACATGACTTTTAACAAGACTTTAATAAAGTTAGTGTTAGACTTAATCATTGGTAAGTTAAATATACAGTTTAGGTTTACAGAGTTACATATACAGTTTAGGTTTACAGAGTTACATATACAGTTTAGGTTTACATAGTTAAATATACAGTTTAGGTTTACAGAGTCACATATATAGTTTAGATTTACGGAGTTACATAGATTATGCTTACAGAGTTAAATATATAGTTTAGGTTTACAGAGTCAAATATACAGCTTAGGTTTACAGAGTTACATATACAGTTTAGGTTTACGGAGTTACATATATAGATTATGCTTACATTGTTACAGATATTGATAATTTATGCAGCGTTAAATATGCAGTTCATATTTACAGAGTTACATATATAGATTATGCTTACAATGTTACAGATATTGATAAGCCATGCAGAGTTACAGATACAGATTAAGTTTGATGACTTACAGATAAAATTAATAGATACAGAAACGGTTTGCAAAATCACAGATACAGATAAGGTAAGATACAGCTTTATGGTTTATAGAGTTACAGATAAAGATGAAGGTTGCATAGTTACAGTACACATAGAATTCTTAGAGTTACAGATACAGATAAGGATTCTCAGAGTTATCGGTTGCACACAAAGTTCAGAATACAGATACAAATATTTCAACATTGTAATTTATTACAGAGCCAAAAATGGGAATTTTGGTTGATCGTATTGGAATGCACATTGACTTATTATTGTTTACGATAAATCAACAGATGTGATTTATTGTATGAACAGTTTGAATTATGCAATACGTAATTAATTACACCAGATTCAAGGTTCGGTATCAGGGTTTCAAGAATATTTTTCAAGTTGTCACACATGACTGATTAATGAAGAAGTATTCAAGGAATGACCGACTATGTTATATTGTGTACTATTACATGTGTAATCATGTAATGTGTTATCATGTAATGTGTTTTCTATAAAAACTGGCAATAAAACTTGTATCTTTTTTATATATTTAATATATATCTAGATTTTTCCAAGGTGTTTAGTATAGGGGGGAAATGTACATGTATGTTGTTTGTATTTAAAAATTTAAATCTAATTTAATTTTAATTTTAATTAATTTTAAAGGGAGTGTTCGCGAAAAATGAAAGGGGGTATAGGCTTACGACGAAAAATAATCGCTTTTGATCACTAATAATCTTACTTTATATCTGTTGCGTCTATAAGGAGAAAATTGTTAAAAGCGGCTTATATTGAAGAACGTAGCGTCCATACAAATTCAAAAAGTTGCAATATACAACTCGTATTGTAAAATAATCAATTTAATTACAAACAAATCATTCAGATATTACAACCTAAAGTCATAGATTATTTTTCGACGCATTCTCACATAGTTAATATTTTATAATTTTTGTTATTTGTTTTATATACAATGCAATTAAAAAAAAATTTTCCGCTAGATGTCTCTGCCACATGTAATCATTCAAAGCATCGAGATCAGAGACATATGGCGTCCAACTATTTCGGCGTGTTAAGTGCATTGTATAAAAAACGAATATTAAATATTAAGTATATACGAATGTTTTCCAATTTTTTACCGATTTGTTATCATTTAGATTTCTGGTATTCTTGATCAGGCAGGATGCCAACCTGTTCAGCAAGTAATTTAATGTTACGCACAGGCCCAACCCTCTTTATGGTAATTGTTATCAACTATGGCACCCTTACCCTGACAAGTACACGCTTAGTAAGTCTTGTCAGAGAGACATGGTTCTGAAAATGTTGTAATTTGGCGGATTACTGTCTCTGGGCGGTAATGTAAACACAAGACGGATGTTACAGCCTGACAAGGGATCCATCTTTCACATAAAAAATCAATGAAATATTCTGTTCATAGGAAACTATTATGTGAGTTATCAAAATTATCAAATTTAATGCTTTTAACAACCTCGGATACTAAACAAACACTGATGCATCTATTCTTGCTTAAAAATTCCGCCCAAAGAGAACTGGTTTAATATGTACGCAGAGTATACACGACCGCAATTAACTTTCCTTGCATTACACCCTTGGTATGCAAAATGTTACCTAGGCGAAATGTTACTGTACAAAAATGTACGAAATGTTACTTATCCACACAATATAAATGCAATTGCAATGGCGTCAGTTGCGCGGATTGCCTTAAAACTGCCTCAGTCCTATTTTTACCCACAAAATAAGTTTGGTAATTTTCTATACGACTGATGAGGATACAAAAAACATATCAAAATTGATATCTAACCCTGAGTTTTTCTATGTGCTAAAGTAAAACCCTTTATTGCTAAAAAGGACAATTTACGTTAAATAATGAAACACTACTACTTTTTACATATCATACAATTAACGAACCAATCTAATTATTAGAGTTTTCACACTTATTTTATATCAGACTTACAGCGTATTTAGTTACCATATTTTCTGCAAACACAATTTTGCAAATTAAAGCGGGGAGATTGGAGAAGTGGGGGGGGGGGCAGTCTCTGTGCTCTTCAATAAGTTGAAATATGCCTGAGATATTGTGTTTTTGCTGAAGATTATGTTTTTGATATTATTAAATAATGGATTGCATACATTATATATTAAAGCTTGACAAGTCAATGTCAAGTGATTATAAACCATCTGGTTGTCCTCAATCTTCATGCTTCTTATACATTTTAAACCTATTAGGAATGTAATGGTCAGACATAAGAGAAGAGAAAATTGTTTGATGTAAAGTTTGGATTATATAAAGTATACCCATTATTCATACAGGTAGGCAGGCTGGCATGCAGGACAATAGTATGGCAGTTAAACAAGAAATAAAAGTGCTAGATAACTGACATGAAGTATTACTGTCGACTCTTGACTTGGCAGAAAGTAATAATGAAAGTAATTAAAATACTTAGTGGCCGGCAGGAAGGAAAAGAAATAACAAGACTCACTGACATGAAATAATAAAAAGTAAAGATTAGGCATTAAATAAGCTGAGTGCAGTCAAGTTTTGGCAAGCCAGGGGAGTTTAAAAATAATCATAATAAAAAGAATATGGATTGTAATGTTTTCTGTAAAATTTGTGTCTTTCTTAAGTAAACAACAGAAATTACAACTTACAAGTCTAAAGCAGGAATTGACTCGCTGCAACAATTTCTGATTTTCTAATCCCATACATCCCTTTGCAACCAAGTGTCGTAAGCCTTATGATATTTCAAACTATGATTGTCAAGATCAAATAGTCAAGTTTGAAATATCAAAGGTTTACACCATCAGGTTGCAAAGACATTGGAATATAGAAATTTAATTTTGAGTGCTTAAATATCGGACCCGGTCTTATCACGAGAATATAGAATGTTATGATCAATGTAATATAGGGAGGCTGCAAATTGCAGATTAGGGTTGTAAGTATATCTTTATCAGCTTGCACAGATACTTTCCAATTAAGAAAACTTAGAAAGAGTCAATTTTAATGGTGGATTAATGTATTGGATTCCAGTCTTAGAAGCAGAGTTGTAATAAAAATGAGAATTACTATGACGATTTTAACCTATTATCATATACTATTTAATATCGTTACTATTTTACTACTAGAAGATAGATAGACACCTGCTACAGGTTGGTTAGATGATGTTAGAAGATAGATAGATACCTGCTGCAGGTTGGTTAGATGATGTTAGAAGATAGATAGATACCTGCTGCAGGTTGGTTAGATGATGTTAGAAGATAGATAGATACCTGCTGCAGGTTGATTAGATGATGTTAGAAGATAGATAGATACCTGCTGTAGGTTGGTTAGATGAGGTTAGAAGATAGATAGATACCTGCTGCAGGTTGGTTAGATGATGTTAGAAGATAGTTAGAAACAAATCTAAGAATGCTTCCAGAAAATGTGAACAAGGAACTAACAGCCTCATCATAACCATCATTCCTGCAATTATTGATATGTATTAAAAAATTGGTTAGTCGAACCCCAATTTTATATTAAAAAATAAAAATTCCATTGTTTCTCTTATTTTTCTTTATTCGTGAATTTTCAAAATGCATTTAACTATTTTTCAGAGTCATTTTTGCCCCATTTGAGGCCCCGCAACAAATATAACATTTTTGTTTGACACGCTAACAAACAGAACATCTTAATCGTTTCTCGTTTTTTTAAGCTTTCTTTTACACAATAATGAGCTGTAGAATATATCCATATTGATTTAACTATTAAAATATAACAATGCAAAGTACAATCAACCAAAAACATAATCATTAAAATATGGCTATTTTTGACCAAACCGTGATCGACCAAGTTTGTCCAAACGTATGACCATTTAATCATTTTTTATCCAATCAAATTTTCTATTTTCTAAACATTACAAATCTAATTTCACACTTCTTCTTATTTATTATCACTCTGTATGAGCGTGCAACTAGATCTAGGAACAGTTTGTAATTACAACTCTAAGATCATCACTTTTATATCTTAAATATATTTGTTCCTATCGTGCTCAGTCTGCTGCAGACTTAAAACTTTAGCCTCTGTTCAACAAATAATCAAATCATAAATATTATTATGAAATATAAACATGGAGTGTTTATAATGTATAATGAATGATACTGCTATTGTATTGTATCTAAACCATGATCTGGCTGTAATTAAGTTGGTTTAGTTTAAATCTATAAAATGATTTTTACTTTTCGTTAGAATAATGTCTGAAGAAATGTGTAATCAGAAAACCAGTAAAACTAATAAAAACCTCAAGCTGATGGTAAAATACCGAAATATCAAGAAAATGACGGATGCATTTTTTTTAGTTCACTTTTTTATATTTTCTTTGGAAACACTTTCTTTTGCATTTGATTCGATAAATTTTCAGATTTAGATTTGTTCATTGATATATCTACATATGTACTTTGATTGTGCCCTTGGACAATCGGTTTTAAAACATTGAATATATTACACTCTTCAAACAATTGCATTTTGTTCGAATTATCGAAATTCCGTATTTTTAAATTTTTTGATTTTAAGCAGTATTTTAGGGATATATCACACATTTTGTACACCCCAACAGGGATTAAAGAAAAGAAAATAAAGATACAATTTTACGCAAAAAAAATAATATTTTCTTCTCCCTTTCTTTACCTGTCTATCGTACTATCTCCTCCTAAGACAGTAAGCAGCGCTGAAACAAATTTGAGTCCGTTTGCAAATATTGTCATTCCCCAGTTTATATCCTGATTTTATTAGGGAACCATTTTTGTACACAACTAAGTAATACTTGCATCAAACACAAACTTTCTAATTTACAATTATTATCAAAACAAAACAAAATAAATTTTATCCCCTCCCTCAAGTCCTTGTTGTCTAAATTTTGTCTCATTATCTTCGTCTTCTTTCATCGATCTGCCCTCTTCTCTGTTTCCTGGGACCTTTCCTTTCCGCCATTTTTTCTTTCTCAGTTTGATTTCATATTTTGATAATGAAGACGACATGTCTTCTATTTTGGACGCCATATTGTCAATATTTTCGACAATATGGCCGAGTTGTCCCAGGTCACGTTTCTCTCGCTCATGTCTAGTTATAAAAAAATATTGAAATTTCTTTTGAGTTTCATAGAATCTGGAAATTGAGAGTCATTGTTTTCAAATTAAATTACATACTGTACTTTTGTTGTCATTGTTTTGCATGGTGAATGTTAATTTGGTTAATAATTCATCTTTAAGTTATGACTTTAGGCAGTTCTAATTAATATCCTTTTGACCATGGCGCATAACCAAAAATTAGCCTCTGCGTTAACACGTTTACTTTTTGCTTTTCCGAGTTAAAAACAGAGAATATTATACTTAGGGGCAAACCACATGAATTCGATTAGGACTCAACAATTAGGAAGTTATCATTGTTCTCAAAAGCTAATTTACTTGGTTTAAAAAACCTAAAGAATAATCATGAAAATATAGCGTTGCTTTATATATTTTTTTTGTTGGATTACAATCCTATAATTTGATTGCTATGTCCACATTTGTTTTATTTGTATGAAAAAATAAAGTAATTGTTCTTTTTTGTAGAAAGGCCCTTTTCATCAGATCCTAAAACAACATATAATTTAATTTTAACTATAGTATTCAAAGAAAATGTCCTGAGATCAATTGTAGAATTGGTTTAACATTTTTGTGTTAATATTTAGATCTCTATTAAATATCGTTTTGTAATTTCGGGTTATTAGAATCCATCCATCTTGCTATATCTATATTATGTCTACTCTTGGTTTTCATGCTTTAAACACATAACTAACGACTGTAATCAACACGGAAATATACCTTTTCATCTTTTGGTTAATCTTGAAAACCATATTAACCACAGCAATTAATTGTACTTCATATTTCAAGAGTTTAAGAGTATATATGAGGAGAATGTTTAAGAGTATAGATGAGGAGAATGTTTAAGAGTATAGATGAGGAGAATGTTTAAGAGTATAGATGAGGAGAATGTTTCAGAGTATGGATGAGGAGAACGTTTCAGAGTATGGATGAGGAGAATGTTTCAGAATATGGATGAGGAGAATGCTTCAGAGTATAGATGAGGTGAATGTTAAAGAGTATAGATGAGGAGAATGATTAAGAGTATGGATGAGGAGAACGTTTCAGAGTATGGATGAGGGAATGTTTTTAAGTATGGATGAGGATAATGTTTACGAGTATAGATAAGGGGAATATTTAAGAGTATGGGTGAGGAGAATGTTTACGAGTATAGATGAGGAGAATGTTTAAGAGTATAGATAAGGAGAATGTTTAAGAGTATGGATGAGGAGAATGTTTCAGAGTATGGATGAGGAGAATGTTTTCGAGTATAGATGAGGAGAATGTTTAAGAGTATAGATGAGGAGAATGTTTAAGAGTATGGCTGAGGTGAATGCTCCAGAGTATGGATGAGGAGAATGTTTAAGAGTATGGATGAGGAATGAGGAGAATGTTTAAGAGTATAGATGAGGAGAATGTTTAAGAGTATGGATGAGGTGAATGTTAAAGAGTATGGATGAGGTGAATGCTCCAGACTATAGATGAGGAGAATGAAATGAAAAATGAGAAATAGGTTTACAGGAAAAATGAGAAGTAGGTTTGCAGGAAAAATGAGAAGTAGGTTTACAGGAAAAACGAGAAGTAGGTTTACAGGAAAAATGAGAAATAGGTTTACAGGAAAATGAGAAGTAGGTTTACAGGAAAAATGAATATGTTTTTGATTATAACTTTTCTTATTGAAGCGCTATTGAAAAGAACAAAGATGTTTTGAATTTCTAATATGTAAGGGGACACATGAGCGAAAAAAGAACAGGATACAAAGTCGGGTCGGAGTTGTAGCATGAATTTGATTAGATTGCAGTAATGAGTAAAGGACTTAAATATAAAAGTTAGGAGATGAAATTTGTTTTCAATATTTTTATTCCTGTTCAAGGTTTGGTGTGCTGTTTCTCCATTTGTAGAACCTATTTTCTGAGGAGTTAAATCTATACTCAGGGTATTAGAGTTTGTTAATAAATTTAGACCAGCCATATTCACTTAATTCACTTTTTCACAGTTTATAGATCACTTCTCGTCTCAGGGACTCATCTCAGGCTCAATCCCACCTCTTATAATCACATAGTTAGGAAAATGATATTCAGATAAGCTTATTTAAAAATAAAATTTTTACGGATTTTGTTGAAATGACATTTTGGGAGCACATTTTTATAGAGACAACATCATAGTTGACAATATGTTTAAGAATTTGAAAGAAAAATTTGAATCTTCAATGAAACAATTCTGAAATCATTATCATTGGTATTTTTATGACTAAGAATGGAAGCGAAACTTATAAGGATAATGAAAGTGAGAATGAAAGTGATAATGAAAGTTTTAAGGAAAGTTATAATGAAAGTTATAATGAAAGTGAAAATGAAAGTAAAATGAAAGCTAAAAATGTGTAAACAGCCTGGCGTCCTCTGAATAATTTCATGAGAAGATTTCGACATAAACAAAGAAACCATTAACTCTGCAATAATAATTCTTAAACAAATTAATTGTCCTTTTTGATACAGATTCAATAAATCATCAGAGAGTGAATTCAGAGAGGGGCGGGGGGAGGGGTCTAATTTCTTTCTAACTTATTATCCCTATAATATCCACCATATGGAGTTTAACACCCGGAGCTAAATAGATTCACACACGGACCCGTCCTACTTGATTAAAGTCCAGACGGAAACTGAAAACAGCGGAGCTAGTTTCTCCCGTTACTCCTGTGCGGTGAGCTTATGGCGAATATTGTTGAATATATTAGAAAAATAGAATTCAAACGCGCGTAGATATACAAATACATGTTCTAAATTAGACTATGTATACAGGGTTGCGCATACAGAATAAGATTCAAAATTCGGTATTATTTTTAGATTTCTGACATAAGAAATTATGTGGCACAACTAATTTGATCTAAATGCTTAAAGAGCTCGATCTTTATGGTCTTCATTTTATGTCATTTTATCCTTTTAGGGTAACCTTTATATTTATTGATCCAATAAGGGAAACCTTTTTTAAAGAAGACAAAAACTGTTTTTAATTGCAGATACTTCAGAGTTGGGACTGGGATAAGAAATTCACATTAGGAATTATATGAATAAAGGATGAAAAGTCTAAAAAGGGATGCCAAAGGAATTTAGTCTTTGCCACAAACTCTATTTGTCTTATCTCTATGTTTTGGCAGCCTGATAGTGTACACCTTTGATGGGTCAAACTTAGATTCTTCAATCTAACAAAATTCATAGTTTGAAATATCTAAGGTTGCATTAGTATTGGGTTACAAAGATATAGGGATTAGAAAATCAGAGTTTGTGACAAGGAAACAATTCCTTTAGAGACAGAACCGAGGTATATTTTAAAGATAAACAGATAAAGTTCTCGGATTTCTAATCCCTAGATCCTACAGTTGGTGTTTCAATCCTACGTGATATTAAGTTTCAAGCTTCTTCATAGATATATCTCAGTATAGACAGGATTGAATAAAAGAAGGTATAAAGTTTTAACTAAAAGAGCAAATACTTGATCAGTATATACACACTGGCGGGTAGCCCTTTTCTCTTAGTCCTGACCTAGCGTGTAAACTAAATAATACAGTTATGTATAGTATACAGCAGATACCAGATACAACCTGAGGCTATATGGGTCAAATCTTATACAGATATCTGTTAGCACAGGTTGTAATTATACAGGATATCAGGAACCAATAGATATTAAATCATTATATTTGGATGAAATATCAAATTATCGGTTAAGAACACAAGATAAGATTTGGACAGGAATAAAATAATAAGAATGGGAAACAAGCAAGCGTAATTTCAAGTGATGAATAAGAAATCAATTTCTTTTATTTTGTAAGCTGATTTTATTCAATTGTGGTTTCTCTGCTAAAGTGATTTGCGCATTTCTGCAACAGGAAAACATAAAATTATGAATTTTCAAAATTGAAGACCTAAATCTAAAAAACGACAATATCTTCCACAAAACTGATTGCTAGATGTTTTAAGGGTACCGATGTGAATCGGGGATTGTGGAAAGAAGGAAGAGAGGAGAGAGAAGGGGGGGGGGAGAAAATAATTGAAACAGGGAAATGAAGAAAAAAGGGAGAAAAGAATCGGTGAGGGGGTGGGGAAAAACGAAGAGAAAAATGAGAGGAAGAGTGTGGAAAATATGTGGAATGTGGCTATAAATGTGAGGAAGAGTATGTGGAATGTGTCTATAAATGTGAAGAAGAGTGTGGAAAATATGTGGAATGTGTCTATAAATGTGAGGAAGAGTGTGGAACATATGTGGAATGTGTCTATAAATGTGAGGAAGAGTATGGAAAATATGTGGAATGTGTTTATAAATGTGAGGTTAAAACAAAAATTGATTAGATCACATATCGAGTTTCTCCGATTAAAAAACAGGAAGACAGAACAGTGAGATGAGTTCTCTTGAGTTAGTGAGTTTATTTCAAAACTACAGTGAGAACTAGATAAATGTGAATCTAATGTCGGCTTTGTTCTTCCGTTTTCATAAAAAGTCACAAAAGATTTTGTAATTTTGTAAATTTTTAAGCAATTTTTCATAAATTTTAAATGTTTGATTTAAAAAAAAATTCGTTGAAAATTAAAAAAATTTTCTTTAAAATGTCGCCGAGGATTTTGTATATATATATATCTTTGAGAATATTTTAGACAGTTTTTTAGAAATAATTGCAAATACTTTGCGACGTTTCATAATTAAAGAAAAATACGACGAGGAACTAAGATTTTCTAGATCATTGTCGGTTTAAGTTACTTTTGTTTAGAAGAATTCATGAAATATGTCACGAAATATAATAATTAGAAATGTCCTTACATAACATGGAAGATGGAAATACAATAATTAGAAATGTCCTTACATAACATGGAAGATGGAAATACAATAATTAGAAATGTCCTTACATAACATGGAAGATGGAAATACAATAATTAGAAATGTCCTTACATAACATGGAAGATGGAAATACAATAATTAGAAATGTCCTTACATAACATGGAAGATGGAAATGGCGGAGAAAATCAATTAGATAGAAAGAGAGACAGATAAAATGAATGATTGTAAGGAGAAGTGGGGTAAGATAACGGAATTGAATGTGTAAAGAATGATCGTGTATACTCGAATTAGATAGAAAGCGAGGAGAGATAAAATGAAGATTGCAAGGAGAAGTGGGGTAAGATAACGGAATTGAATGTGTAAAGAATGATCGTGTATACTCGAATTAGATAGAAAGCGAGGNGTTGTCTATTTAGGGGAAAGATAAAGCTGAATCTAAAAAGTTCAAACTCAATAACAAAAAATTGTTGATGTCTTATTTATGCATTAATGCAAGTTTTAAAATCTTGTCTTTCTTTTTAGTTCTTCTAAATAAATCAAATATTAACTAGGAGTTTTTATATTAACTGTTTAAGTGGATTAAAAAGACGAAAGACGATTTGATGCTTAATTTCCATGATTATTAGGACACTCTGTAGGTTAATTGTGTTTTTAAAATATGTCTCTTCTGCGGTTTCTTGGCATTTTCTCTCTTAACTAAGTTTTTAGTTAATACTTTAAATACTTTTCAAAAACTTGTCAAAATGTCAAATTTACAGATATGTTTAATGTTCATCTTTAATATTTTAGATTAAAGTTGTATAAACTAAACTCCATGATTAAAAAAAAATCTCAAGTTTATACAAAATGGAACATGAGTGATCGATTTATGGGACTCGAACGAGAATTTAAGGAGTTAGGACTAGAAGACTCTATGTGATACTCATATCAGCTTCTGCAAAATCTTTCATTATTAATTACTATTCTATAAGAAGACGATCTGCTGGTAAAACAATACTGATTGATGATTAGTACAGAGAGAACGCACATTGAGAGCGCATTATAAAGAATGCATTTATGGGAAGCAGTCCTGAGAACGCCACAAGACATAATGCATCCATAGCAGCTTTATGTCATAGAACATAAACTTTTGTAAATATAGATTTTGTATCTCTTTTTTGTTATGCACATATTTTTCTCCTTGTTGTTTACTCGATACATTACTTTCTTAATGTAACCATCCTGTCCCTTTGACCCCAGATTTTACCACCATGTCATTTACCCTCAATTCTGTATCCGTACATATTTACCCTGGGGGGGGGGGGTCAATCACCCCATCGTGTTTTGCGATAACTCAAAAAGTATTTTAATGAATGTAATGAATATCGTGTAACACTTTATCTGTAAAACCTGAACTACATTGTACATGTTAAATTATCTACGTTAACCCCATATCATGAATATTTCATATTTTAACTGCGCTGTATATAACTACGTAACATGATTAGCTTAATCATGTGTTGTATATAACGACGTAAAACTTGTAACTACGTTGATTAATTTGTAACATCTAGAAACCTCAAATACATTAGTTGGAATAGACTCGGCTTTTATTATGGTGAGAGAGTAATTTGTTCCACATTTTAACCAACAAGTTGACAAGGTTGTGTCTGTATTGGCATAGATAGCTGATGAGATTGTGCCCGTGTTTGGCATAGATAGCTGATGAGATTGTGCCCGTGTTTGGCATAGATAGTTGATGAGATTGTGCCCGTGTTTGGCATAGATAGTTGATGAGATTGTGCCCGTGTTTGGCATAGATAGCTGACGAGATTGTGTCCATGTTTGGCATTGATAGTTTACTAGCTTGTTTCTGTGCTGACATTGATAACTGACGAGTTGTACCTGGATTGATACGCGTCTGGAAGCAGTTTAAAGAGTAAGGCATTTACTAAAGGAATCTCAAATTTTCTGACTTTTCTAACTAACAAACGCCCATCACTTAAGGCTAAAAGCTGAGCTTTTACAACTTACTGATTCCTCAGGCATACTGTCTAAATGCCTTTTTTACTTATACCGAACTAAATCTATATTTAGACCTACTTCCAGTCACTGGATTTCAAGACTGTATAGCTCGTTGGAAAGACTTTAACAAAAGCAACCAGTTTACACAATTTTGCAAAGAAATTTTGCACAGATTTTTGCACATATGCCTTTGAAGGGAATTTGCATATTTTCAGTTTTTCTTGAATACACATTTAGGTTTCAAGAATTTTAAAAATATTTTTGCAGATTTGAATTCGCTGGGCCGATATATAATATGTAAATAAATATATAATTTGTTGCAATTTTCGCAATTCTTCTTTGCACAATTTTTTGCTTAATAGCTAGATTCTGCAATAAATATTGGGTTTTTTGCAAATGCCATTTTTTCAGTTTATTGAAGTAAAGCCAAAGGGCTTTCCAAAAACGTATCAAATGTTATAGAATTGTATCACAATAAGAAAAAAGAAGGGGGGCAATTTGACCCCCCCCCCCTCCGAGAACCAGTCATGAAACCAGAGTTCAGTATAAATAGGATTAACATGCTTTTGTCTTTTTTACCACCTCGTTTAATTAACGTCTTTTCCTATTATATTGTTCCCTCTCTGAGACCATATTCTGTATCCGGTCTTATGTTGTACATCCATATATACTGTATCCGGTCTTATGTTGTACATCCATATATTCTGTATCCGGTATTATGTTATACATCCATATATACTGTATCCGGTCTTATGTTATACATCCATATATTCTGTTTCCAGTCTTATGTTATACATCAATATATTCTGTATCCGGTCTTATGTTATACATCCATATATTCTGTATCCGGTCTTACGTTGTACATCCATATATTCTCTATCCGGCCTTACGTTGTACATCCTGTTCTCTGCACGCATAGTGAAGTGAAATCTCTATATAAAGACTAATCATAACATATTCATTATTATTTCAAAAAATCGTCACACAACATGGATATATGTAACACTGCAGCTATCTATCTATCTCATTTATTTCTATCTATCTATCCCCTTTTCTTTCCTGTAATATTCTTTGCTTGGTTTATTTTTCCTGCCGGGTTCAGTCTGTTTTTAAACTTAGTTGTAAAATCATGCTTATTCATGACTAGAGACGGCAGTACATTTTATGGAATTCATGACTAGAGACGGCAGTACATTTTATGGAATTCGTGACTAGAGACGGCAGTACATTTTATGGAATTCATGACTAGAGACGGCAGTACATTTTATGGAATTCGTGATTTAAACAAGTTTAAGGTACTATAGTGGTTAAACATCGTTAATGACGTAATTATATCATTAATATTGTACTATTATTATCATCATTATTGTTATTTTATAATGATTTCTATTTTACCATGATTTTTCTCATTATCAATATTGTTATAATCATAAAATCTAGTTTGTATAGAATGGGGAATGCTCTGATAACCTACTGGAACTCTGTATCTAGTTCTATCTCTAATATAACAACAGCAACATGGTCTGGGATATCCTATCCGTTCACTTGGCCTTCAGCCTCAGCATCAGGTAGGACCAAAGGTCAATAGTCGAGTTCATTAATAGAGGTCAATACTAGAGGTAAATACTAGAGGTAAATACTAGAGGTCAATACTAGAGGTCAATACTAGAGGGCAATACTAGAGGTCCATACTAGAGATCAATGCTAGAGGCCAATACTAGAGGTCAATACTTGAGGTCAATACTAGAGATCAATACTAGAGGTCAATACTAGAGATCAATGCTAGAGGTCAATACTAGAGGTCAATATTAGAGGTCAATACTAGATGTCAATACTAGATGTAAATACTAGAGGTCAATACTAAAGGTCAATGCTAGAGGTCAATACTATAGGTCAATTTCTTGAGGTCAATACAAGAGGTCAATAGTAGAGGTCGATACTAGAGAGCAATACTAGAGGTCAATTCTAGATGTCAATACTAGAGGTCGATACTAGAGGTCAATGCTAGAGGTCAATACCTGAGGTTAATACTAGACGTCAATACCAGAGGTAAATACTAGAGGTAAATACTAGAGGTCAATACTAGAGGTCGATACTAGAAGTCAATACTAGATGTCAATACTAGAGGTCAATAATAGAGGGTTATAGTAGAGGTCAATAGGAGAGGTAAATAGTGGAGATCAATAGTCAAGGTCAACAGTTGAGGTCAATAATAGATGTGAATATCAATAATAGATGTGAATAGTCAAGGCCAATGCTAGAAATTAATATTGGAAGTCAATAACAGGTGTCGTCAGTGGAGGACAATAGTAAAGGTCAAAATAGAAAAAAGAAAGGAAAGGAGTTTATGAGAATTTCGGTACCAGTACAAACGTCGGACCCACAAACGTCGGACGGTACAAACATAAGACTTACGAACGTCGGACAGTACAAATGTCGGACCAGTACAAACGTCGGACCAGTACAAACATCGGACCAGTACAAACGTCAGACTGGTACAAACGTCGGACCAGTACTAACTTCGGACGGCTACATTTATAAGGAAAAACGTCGGACCAAGGAGGAGAAAAAATATATTTGAATTTTCAGATTGAAATCCTTGTAAATTCGCAATTTTCTCTCAAAAAAATTCCCATTTTTTTTGTTAAAAATTCATAATTTCACAAAGTCTGGATGCATGGACGAGGAGACTGCTAACTAGATTGAGGCACCTACTTGATTCAAATCAGTATGGTTACAAAGAAGAAACCCAACAAAACCTATTACCAATGCATTCAAAGGAAAAACAATTCTTGTCCTGCAGGAGCAGTTGTAAATAATGAGAATGATAAGATTATCAGTTTCCTGGGAGAGCATACTCATGACAGTGATCTTTTGAAGAAAAGAGTACGTGAAATAGAAAAACAAGTAGTTAAAGAAAGCTCTGGAAATATAGCAATAAGTCCACGAACTGTTCTTGGAAACATCTACAACATCGGGTTGCAAAGATATAGGGATTAAACTGTATGATCTTGTAGAATTCATAGATTGCAATTTTTTAAAACAATGGTTCATTCAAAATCTACCAAGTCCGACGTTTTTTCTTATAAATGTACGTAACCGTCCGACGTTTGTACTGGTCCGACGTTTGTACCAGTCCGACGTTTGTACTAGTCCGACGTTTGTACTGGTCCGACGTTTGTACTGTCCTACGTTTGTGGCGTCCGACGTTTGTACTGGTACCGTTAAAAGTGTTCAATAGTGGTGGAAGTCAAAGTAGATGTCAATAGTTGAGGACAATAGGTGGGGTCAATATGCGAAATGAGCAGAAGAGGTAATCACTAAGGTCAATATTGAAGGTCAGAATTAGAGGTTAATATAGAGTTCAAAGGTTTGCATTGATGTCTTAATCCCTAATTACCGAAATTTACGAAATTAAGTGGTTTTTTTTTACCTTTTCCATAAAAGTGTTTAAATTTATTTTTATTAATTTTTTTTAGCTTTTGTTATTTATAAATTATAATTAGGTAGTTATCATATGCTGCTGTGGAATACTGAGTGTAGGTTTTGTGATCTTATTCAGCCAACTGGTTTGTTATTTTCTTTTCCTATTCAACCAACTGGTTTGTTATTTTCTTATCTTATTTAACCAACTGGTTTGTTATTTTCTTATCTTATTCAGCCAACTGGTGCGTTATTTTCTGATCTTATTTAACCAACTGGTTTGTTATTTTTTTATCTTATTCAACCAACTGGTTTGTTATTTTCTTGTTTTATTCAACCAACTGGTTTGTTATTTTCTTATCTTATTTAACCAACTGGTTTGTTATTTTTTTATCTTATTCAACCAACTGGTTTGTTATTTAGATTATCTTTTTCAACCAACTGGTTTGTTATTTTCTTATCTTATCTAACCAACTGGTTTTTTTATTTTTTCTATCGTATTCAACCAACTGGTTTGTTATTTTCTTATCTTATTCAACCAACTGGTTTGTTATTCAGTTTATCTTATTTCAACCAACTGGTTTGTTATTTTGTTTATCTTATTCAACCAACTGGTTTGTTATTTTGTTTATCTTATTCAACCAACTGGTTTGTTATTTAGTTTATCTTATTCAACCAACTGGTTTGTTATTTAGATTATCTTATTCAACCAACTGGTTTGTTATTTTGTTTATCTTATTCAGCCAACTTGTTAATAATCTTTATTCTTGCTAGGCCATTTTTAGATTTAGATTTTTTTCTCTACTTGATTCTTTTAAGTAGAGAGAGCGCTTTTTTTGATATAAAGATATAAATGAAGAGATTAAATTCAAACTATAAAAGTAAATTATTTGCAGGAACCTGGGTCGGAAGATTCTTAAATTACAGGTTAATCACAAAATCATAAAAAAATATTATCACCTAAAAAAAGAATTTCATTAGTTTTTGGAAATATTTTTTTCTTATTTTAATTGTCCCTTTTCCCCAAAAAAAATACTACAGTGGACCATAAATCTTTGGAATAAAAGACGACATTTTAGGGGCGTAAATAAGGATTCTGTAGGGGGGTATATTTTTTTTAATGTGGTACGCGAAGCGCGCCGAATTTTTTTTATACCCACCCCTAGAATTTTTTTACCTCCGGAAGAGCATTATACTTAATTTGACATATAGTGGAAGTACGCTACTGCATTAAAAACTCGATTTTTGGGTAAAATTTATCTATGTTACTTTGATAAAGTTGATTGAGTAAGATTAGCTGCGCGAAGAGCAAAATGTTTTAAATATTTTTCCTAATAATTAATGGTAATCATGGACATGGAGAATGGAGATCAAGTTACTAAACGGGGATATTTGTGTCCCCAATTCTAGGGGGGAGTAATTACCCCCAGGATTCTAGGGGGTGGGGGGGGAAGTAACCCCAATAACCCCCCTTATTTACGCCACTGCGACATTTTATAAATCTATTGTGTTTTGGATGCTGTTCTAAAGAAAAATGTTACCAGTAGCATTAGAATGAACTTATCAAGTGAACACTGCACAATTGCTGTGTTTCGTGTTCTTTGATAATTAAAATCATAACTTGAATCTATAGAGTGGTCTTCCTTATTCCCAGTTGTTTGAGTCCCGCTGAAAAGCTGATTTAAAACACCATTAAAAAATTTTTTTGAATGTATTAACGAACTAGAGTTCACAAAGGATGATACTTTAGAGACGACTGTACGGAATTCATATTGTGTGTATCCTAATATTTAAACGATTTTCTGCAACTGTAAACTTGATTTCTTTATTTAACCTTGGGGTCGTGATATTATCTGAGCTTCATGTCGTCTTTGCAGTCTCATCCTGTAAGTGCACATGAATCACCGCAGTCCGGAATTTATGAAGAGAGAAAGTTAAATGAACAAAGTACGAATAGTTTAGCTATACTTGAACTTGAGATGGGTTAACTTATAGTTAAACTCACCGTACCCAGTTCTCAGTAACAAACTAGTACTTACTTCCAACCTTAAAAATCATGATTTCAGGAAGAAAAGAGAAGATCCATCCACTAGATTCAGACAAAGTATCATACAATCCCTAAGGTTTCCGTCCTACCCGGAGAAGGTTCAGACCAGGGTAGGGCGAGGAGAAGAACAGGTTCAAGAGAAGGTTAAAATCCCGGAACAAAAAAGCGGAAGAATCCTGTGGAGCAAACTCGGATTTTAAGTTTTGAATATACATGTTTTCTGGACGCCATAATCAAAATATATGTTAAGTATTTAGCAAAATAAAGAAATATTTGGACTATTTTAGCGTTAAGGAAGAATTAATATACAGGGTGTCCCAATAAACATGAGAATTCAGTGAAAACTTCTATATCGTCTTTGTTATGAATTATTGTAATACCTAATTTCTAAAACCATCATATTTTTATGTCTGCTGGAGTTTATTTAATGAAAACGGTAAATGGCTGTAAAGATGTGTCCATGATGTTTCTGTAAGATGAACAGTGAAGACGGACAAGTTTACTCTGTTTGCAGTATACTTTTGTTTGACTATAGATACAACCGTATGCAGTCAAAACAAAAAACAAACAAATTTTAAACATAGCAGACGAAAATCTTACGGATTACAGATTTCTCGGATTCAGTCAAAGACGATATAGAATTCGTCAGTGAATTCCCATGTTTATTGGGACACCCTGTATATGTTTGTAAAATATAATGACATAATTCAAAAAGCCATATGTATGGGAGAAGAGGTGTTGGGCGTGGGAAACATAAGATTCAGGAGATTCAGGAAGGATCAGAAGGAAAGAATTTGATATAGAAGAGTTAAAGTTGGATAGGACAAGGAAGAAAATACAAGAAGGATGCATTCAAGAAGGTTAGGGAAGAGAACTACAAGAAGGATAGAACAAGGAAGAGAACTACAAGAAGGATAGAACAAGGAAGAGAAGTACAAGAAGGATAGGACAAGGAAGAGAAGTACAAGAAGGATAGAACAAGGAAGAGAAGTACAAGAAGGATAGGACAAGGAAGAGAAGTACAAGAAGGATAGGACAAGGAAAATAAATAAAAGAATTGGATAGGACAAGGAAGAGACATACAAGAAGGATAGGACAATGAAGAGACATACAAGAAGGATAGAACAATGAAGAGACATACAAGAAGGATAGGACAAGGAAGAGAAATACAAGAAGGATAGGACAAGTAAGAGACATACAAGAAGGATAGGACAAGGAAGAGACATACAAGAAGGATAGGACAATGAAGAGACATACAAGAAGGATAGGGCAAGGAAGAGAAATACAAGAAAGATAGGACAAGGAAGAGAAATACAAGAAGAATAAAACAAGGAAGAGAAATTCAAGAAGGATAGGGCAAGGAAGAGAAATACAAGAAGGATAGGACAAGAAAGGAGAAAAGGACGTGGTTAACTAGTAACTTTCTTTAATAATAAATTAGTATAATCATTATTATCGCAATTTGTGTTAGTACACTGTAGATTTCTCGAAAATATTCAAAATTTCATTGTTCAATTTTTAACACATATTTCCTCGTATCTACTTCACACTTTTACATTGTTTACTTAATTAATTATGCAGTGAGGTAATTAACATCACTTAATTACCTCATAATGTTAGAGTGGTGGGGGGAGTTTTAATTTACTTGGCTCTTTAATTTCTCCATATTTTAACATATTATTCAGCGCAAAATACAGGGCTACAATTACAGGGGACATTAGTTCAAAAACTAACCAATTGTTTCCCCTGAAATACCCAGTTTTCTTGAGACTTAAAGGGAGTGTTCGCGAAAAATGAAAGGGGGTATAGGCTTAATGCGATAAAAAAGCGCTTTTGATCGCTACTAATCTTACTTATATCTGTTGCGGCTATAAGGAGAAAATTGTTAAAGAATAACTTAGCGCCCATACAAATTAAGAAAATTGCAACATACTACTTAGACCGTAAAAAATCAATTTAATTTCAAACACATCATTGAGAAATTACAACCTTTAGTCATCGATTACCTTTCGCCACATTAGAAGTAAGATTAGTAGCGATCAAAAGCGCATTTTTATCGCACTAAGACTATACCCCCTTTCATTTTTCGCGAACACTCCCTTTAAGC